CAGAGCAGCACCCTCCCCCTCCCTTTGCAGATTCCTTTCCTCTTATTACTCAAGTTATAAAGACTACAATGAAGGGCTGTAACTAGGTTAAAGCCACCAGGACTTTGTCCCAGGAAACAGACATTCAGTAGGATAGAAATAACTAATTCTTATATCTAGTTAGCAATAGTAACTAGTTAAATTAGGAAGCATAGTACTTCCTTCCAGAGACCAAATTCTAATTAGGTAAGCTCCTCCCCATAGCAGGAAGTATTTTAGTGTTTTTTCCTCACCTAGGCCAAACTGAATGTATCTTTAAAAAATTGATTTAAAGGCTTGTTTTGTGTTATTTGTCCCAAGCATTGATTTCCAATTGCAGCTCTGCTACAATGTTTATCAACTAAGCTTTCTAATTCCTCCTTAATGGAAGAACAATCTTCTTTCCCCAGGAACAAGTATCTGCCCCACATGTTAACTGTTTTAAAGTAGCTTGTAAATCTCCCTTTTCCCTATCTGTAATTTGGATTCCTAGTATGTAAGTATTATTGTCCTCTCTTCTACAGCATCTTGAACCCACCATATAATCAGCTCCCCGAAGACCAACAATCAGTCAAGTGCCATGTTGCCAACTGCACCAACTCCACCCACAGCTCCCAGACCCTGCCCCTGAGCCCCATCGTAGCTAAGGGGAGTTACAAGAGAAATATGAAGCAAACCTGGATTCATCTACTTTCCTTGAACCTGTACCACTCTGACTAAAGGCTATGAGAACTGAAAGTGCCATCTGAGCCCAACTCTCTCCCAAAACAGGATAACAAATTCAGTAAACCAAACCCCACTCTCCTCCCGCCCATGACACTTGCCCAAATTGCTCCTCCCACACCCATTCCCAAATGTCATTCAAACATTAGTCCTGGATCTCTCGCCCCCATTGCTTGCACAGTTCTACATATGCTCAATCCACCACCCAGTAGGGGAGCACCTCTGTTGTCCAGGTAACAGTCTTACTGCCCATGCATGTTGATGCATCTGTTCATCTTCTGGTCATCTTGACCTGGTCATTCATTCTTGTGATCTGCTAAGTCTCCCTGTTGTATTGGCCCCCTTTGTCCTGTGTTCTCTGCAGTCCTTGAGCTAACAAGCTTACAACAGTGGATTCTCAAAGCCTCCCACCCTCGGAGCTGAACCTAGTGGTCTAGACGCTTGTCGGCCTCCAGTCAGCAGCCATTTTTAATCTCCTTTGCCACAGTAACAGGGATGGCTTGTTTATAATGCTGACAACTTGGTGTGCAACATGAAAACATACCTATTTCTTTACTCCCTGCAAGACTCTTTCATATAGCAGACAGAAAGGAGTCTATGTGGTCTTGCAGAGTTATGCAGTCTTAGTGCTAGAAGGCCATTAGAGACTGTCTTCTTCAATGTCCTCATTTGACAGATAGGAAACTGAGGCTCCATGTGGTTAAGTCACACAACAAAAGGCATAAAGGTTGTAAGGGTCACAAGTGGTAAGGGTCAAAGCCAAGCTGTGGGGATGTTTTCTGTTTTGTTTTGTTTTGATTTGTACTCTGAATCCAGGGTTCTTTTGCTACACCACTCTGATTCCCAAATATATAAAATTTGCCAGTCAATGAACAAGCAATTATTGAATATGCACTCTGTGCCAGGCATTGTGCTAAACACTCTGCTCACACAAAGAAACTCTGGTTCCTGCCTTCAAAGAGCTCACATTTCAATGAATGTTAAAGTACTGTAGAAATTGCTAGGATATATGTATGCATGAATGTATACATGAAAATCCCTCCCTAAGCAATGCTCATAATTGTAACTGTAATAATCATATGTAGATATAAAATCGTATTCCTTTCCTAAGCAATGCTCATAATTGTAACTGTAATAATCATATACATAATCATATTCCTTCCCTAAACAATGCTCATAGCTACTACTATAATAATCATATATAGATATATAGTAATAATCATATATAGATATAATTAATATTATAACTGTAATAGTATTACAGTTACAGCTATGAGCTTCACTTAGGGAAGAATTAGGTATAGACTGGAAATTAAAGGTAAATGTCAAAACTTTGATTTCAATTCAATTTACTAAGCAAAGGAGACAAAAATGAAGAATGACATAGTCCTGTTCCACACACTTACTCTCAGTGTGATCCTAGACAAGTCACTTTGCATCTGCTTGTCTCAGTTTCCCCATCTGTAAAATAGGGATAATAATAGCACCTACTTCCTAGAGTTATTGTGAGGATCAAATGAGATAATGTTTGCAAAGTGCTTTGCAAACCTTAAAGTACTATAAAATGCTAGCTAGTTATATTTATTATCTCTGCCTTCAGGAACACTAATTAATTGGTTATTTAATTTAAAAGCCTTTATTAAGAGTTTACTACATGTCAGGCACTGTGCTAAGTCCTGGGGGCATATATAGAAGAGCCAGTCTCTGTCCTCAGGGAGTTTACATTCTAACAGGGAGAGTAGTAACCAAAGAAGGAAAAGTGAAGTTATAGGGATGATGAGTAGAGCCATAGAGCAATCTAATGATGGGACATTTCCAGAAACAATCGGTATTGATTTGATTACTGTTCCCAGAGCAAGTGAGAGGGGAGGAAGGGTCGTACAGTGACAAGGAATAGCAAGGAGGTGAGTGTCACTGGATTATAAAATACATAAAGGAAAGTAATATGTAAGAAGACTGGAGAGGTAGGAAGTGGCTGTGTTACGAAGGGCTTTAAAGGTCAAACAGAGGATTTTATATTTGATCCTAGAGGTAATAAGGAGCCACTGGAATTTATGGAATGGTTGGGTTGCCATGATCAAACTTGTGCTTTAGAAAGATAAATTTGATAGCTGACTGGAGGGTAAATTAGAATGAGGAGAGACGATTGCAATGGTCCAGGTAGGGGTTGATAAGGGCCTGCACCAGGATGGTGGCAGTGTCAGAAGAGAAAAGGCGTGTATACTAAAAAGTTGACGTGACAGTTGATTGAATATAGAGTGACCTCTCTCACTGGAGTGTTTTAAAAACTGCACGACCACTGATCAGGTGTGCTGTAGGGGGAATTCCCTGTTCAGGTATTCTTCAAGCTAGATCATTCTTGAGGTCTTGAACAAATCTGAGAAACTGTGATTCTGCAACACAAGTTAAAATGTGATGGGGACAGGGGATAGGAGGCATTATGGATAAAATAGAGATCCAAACAAAACACTTTAGGAAAATTAGGAAGGTAGAGATTACTTTCATCTGGAAGGAATTAGGAAAGGCTTCATGGAAGAATTGGCATTTAAACAGAGTCTTCGAGGAAGGGAAGGATTCCAATAGGTAGAAATAAGGAGGAAATACATTTCAGGCATGAGAGAGAGCCAGCAAATGTACAGAGGCAAGAGATAGCAGTAGAAGATTAGAGATTAACTGGTAATGCAATTTGCTTGGAATTTAGAGTGTGTCTAGGGGTGAAATATAAAATAAGGCTGACAAGGTTATTTGGACCCAGATTATGGAGGGCCCTAAATGACAAGTTAGGGAGTGAGCATTTTATCTTATAGGCAATAAAGGGGCAATGGAGGGTTTCTGAGTTAGGGAAAGATAAAGGTGGTAGCTGTGTGAAGGCTGTACTAGAAAGGGAATACAGTAGTGGCAGGGAGGCTAATGAGGAAACTTCCATAATAGTCCAGGTGAGAGATAATGAGGTATGGAATTAGGTGATGTGATTGGAGAGGATAAATGCAAGAAATATTTTGGAGATGGAATCAATAGGGTTTGGAAACTCATTGGATGCATTGATGAGAGAGAGGGAAGAGTCAATCATTACATCAAAGTTCTGAGTCTAGATAATTGGGGAGATAGGGCAGGTAGGTGGTAAAATGGATAGAGTGCTGGCCCTGGAGTCAAGAAGAGCCATCTTCCTGAGTTCCAATCTGACTTCAGACACTTATAGCTGTGAGACCCTGGGCAAGTCACTTAATTTTGTTTGCCTCAGTTTCCTTATCTGTAAAATGAGCAGGAAAAGGAAATAATAAACCTCTCCAGTATCTCTGCAAAGAGAACCCCAAACAGAGTCACGAAGATTTAGACTAAACAATAACAACAATGACAATGAACAGGAACATGACAAGTCCCTAACAGAAGTATGGAATTAAGTAAGATCTTGACTTTGCCACTTACTGTCTATATGGCTTTTGGCAAGGCACTACTTCCCCTCTCTTAGCCTCAGTTTCCTCATTTGTAAAATGAGGAGAACAGACTAGATCATTTTAACAGTTCCTTCCAACTAGAAACTCGAAAATCTCATGATGCTAGAGCAACTCTTCTTAATATTTTGATAATTATTTTGATATAACTGTTTTCCTTTGCAATCTTATGTATTTTATGATAGGGGTGAGTGAGTAGGGGTAAATGTGAACGGGTAGGTATGTATAAAGCCATATGGAATTGAAGAAAGGTATAAGTGAGGTAGGGTGGTTGACTGTTGATGGAAGATAAGTGTGAGTGGTTTTAGTGGAAGGAGAGAATGTGTATGATTATGTGTAGAAATGTGTGAGTGAGGGGCAGCTAGGTGGCGCAGTGGATAGAGCACCGGCCCTGAAGTCAGGAGGACCTGAGTTCAAATCTGACCTCAGACCAAACACTTGACACTTACTAGTGTGACCCTGGGCAAGTCACTTAACCCCAACTGCCTAAGCAAAAAAAAAAAAGAAAAAAAATGTGTGAGCGGGAATGGGGATGGGTGGATAGGTGTGAATGAGTGGTACTAAATATGTTTGTGGGTGGGTAGGGAAAGACAACAGGAGGCCTGAACATTGCAGCAGTCAGTTAAGGAAGAAGGTTCTGGACAATATGGAATCCTTTTCTCCTTGGGCTACCTTGCAGGGTCAGGGCTGTGGGGCCACGGATGCCTCTTGCTCCTTGACCTTACAAAGGTTCAGGATTGTGGCCCTCGGCTTGGCTCTCTGCTAAATCAAACTAGATTGTAACACTCTTATGGGCTCTTTCTTTAGCTTGGACTCCTTGCTGTCTCCATCTTTCTCTCCCTGACACTGGGTGTCCCAGGCCAGCCAAAGACCAAACTCCAAAATCCTAAAGGAAAGAGAAAAGGGACGGCAAGGCCAAAAGTTCTTCCCTCAATGGCTCAGGGACCCTTAGACTTGGTCCAAAGGGTGAAGCTGCCAGGGGAGAAGGTATTTGCCTTAATGGAAGAATATGAGAGGAGCATTCAGGAGATGGTGACCCAGCTGAGGAACAGCTCAGAGCCATCCAAAGGCAAATGTGAGGTCAACCTGCAGCTGTGGATGTCCAACAAGAGGAGCCTGTCCCCATGGGCATACAGGTGAGTCCAGGATCTGGTCCCCAGAATAAGAGAAGAGTGATAATAGAATCTTAGAATGGTAGAGCCAGTAGATACCTTTCTAAACCCTTCATTTTACAGATAAGGAAACTGAAGCCCAGGGAGGGAGTGTGTTTTAGTCAAGACAACATGGTTGTCACCATGAAGCCTGATATCTTGGGTCCAAGCCCAGCCCTCTCTCCACTATACTATGGTCCTGTAGTGTTCCACTATAGGAACTCATGTTCCTATAATATATTAAGATTACAAAGCACTTTCCTCACAACAAACCTATGAGATAGGTTGGGCAAATACTATTATCAAATGAGAGAATAAAGCATCACAGGAGTCGTCACTTGCTGAAGGACACGAGGTGGTGTTGGAACTGGGATAGAAATTCATAGCTATAGAAGAGTGCTAAAATCATAGGATATATGGCAGGAAAGAGACAAAGTCCGTCCTCCTCATTTTTCGTTGTTGTTGTTTGGTCCTTTTCAATTATGTCCAACTCTTCACGACCCCTTTTGGGGGTTTTCTTGGTAAAGATACTGGAATGGTTTTGCCACTTCCTTCTCCAGCTCATTTTATACATGAGGAGACTAAGGCAAACAGGATTAAGTGCCCTGCCCAGGGTCACACATAGCTGGTAAGTGTCTGAGGCCGAATTTGAACTTGAGTCTTCCTGACTCCTGATTTGGCTCTCTATCCACTGCGCCAACTAACAGCCCCCTCCTCATTTTATTGATGTGGAAAATGAGGCCCAGATGAACTTGCCCAAAATAAATCAGGTAATAAGTAGCAAAGCCAAGATTTGAATCTAGGTTTTCTGATTTCAAGTCAAGTATTGTTTTCACCATACTATATTCACGTGGGGAAGAATATTAGACCAGATTACTGCTAGGGTCTATCCCAACTCAAAGGTTGCTCTACCACAGTAAAAACAAAATAAAGTTGAAGATATTAACTATGTAGAAAGAGCCAGTGACAATTGACCTGAGCCTGAACAAATTGTGAATAAAATCAAGTGAAGGTAATAATAGAAAGAGTGCTCATAATGTAGATAGTGCTGGCCTTGTATTTGGAAGACCTGGGTTCCAATTCAGGCTCTGTCCCTTACTGACTATACACTCCTGAACAAGAAACCACTTTTTATGAGCCTCTTTCTTCCCATCCATAAAATGGAGATAATAATTACTTGCTGTTTGGCTGTAGTGAGGTTCCAGAACCATCACTGACATATATTGGCTGTGTGACCCTGGAAAAGTCACTTAAGTTCTAAGCCTGAGACGCCAACTAACTTGCTGAACAGTTGCTGATATACTTGGTAGAGGAAGTTTCTTCTGTAGCTCCCTACACCAATGAAATCACCAGGTTGTTGTGAGAACCAAATGAGACAATGTATGTAAAGCACTTTAAATTCCTACATAAACATGAGTTGTTACTTATTACTATTGTTGCTGTTAGAACTTTCTATGAAAAGAATCACCAGTGAAACACTGATCTCAAAACCTAGACATGTACAGAAGTTGCCTGAAGAGTTTTTTGCTCAACGCTGTCCACATGGGTCTCTTCTGACTAAATTACAGGCTCGAAAAATAGCCTTCCAAAGGACGTTTGTAACCCTCTGCTTATGCCTCCAAAATAATAATCATAGCTAGTATTTCCACACAAGATCTCTTCAAGATAGATGGTCCATGCATTATTTTCTCCATTTCTGTGGTTCAGAAAAAGGAAGTAACTTGCCTCAGTGGCTTATACAGCTAATAAATATTAGAGCTGAGACTTGAACCCAGTCTTCCTACTTCAAGTCCAAAGTTCTTCCCATTGTACCATGGCTGTCTATTTAGAAGGTAGTAAGATGTCACGGAAAGAGCATTAAACTTACAGAATGGAGTCACCACATTCATAATCCTGACCCTGGCGACAGCAAGATATGATTAATGCATTTACTACTTGCTCAGTTTCCTTATCTGTAAAATGGGGATGATAACAATAACACTATTTAGTAGAGTTGTTTTGAGTATCAAATGAGTTATTTGCATTAAAGTGCTTTTGCAAACCTTAAAGGACTACATTACTGTTAGCTGTTATTACTTGAGGCTGTAAAAATTGGGATGTTTGAGGTGGAGAAGATCAGACTTAATGGGGGAACATGACCACCATCTTCAAGCATTTGAAGGGTGGTGATGTGGAAGAGATGCAGTGTTTATTCTGCTTGGTCCTAGAGCACGGAACAGGAGCAGCGGGGCAAGTTGCAGAAAGGCAAATTTCAGCTCCATTTAAGGAGAAACTTGGAATTAGAACAGTCTCTAAAGATCATGAGTTTCCCATCATTAAGAGTATTTGAGTAGAAACTAGATGAACACTTATCAAGGGGATGTCCAGGGGAGGCCTCCTCAGAGCCAGACCAGGTTGCCTCTGACATCCCCTTCTATCTCTGAGATTCTAGGATTCTGCAAATACTTTGATACTACAATGTTAATTGTATGTTTAATATAATTTTTGAATAGAAGATGGTACTTCAGAGAATCATCCTATGTTTAGTCAAAGGCTCTTTATATTACACCAACCTGGGGGTTGGGGAGAGGTGACCGGAGGACAAAGGCCTTGGGTCTTCGTCTTAGCCCTTACCTCTGGGCCAAGGGGACAAGGGAGCACTTGGTGATCAGCCCCTTCTCTGTGGACTTCCCTCCCGCATCTCTCCTGCAGCCTGAATCATGACCCAGCTCGAATCCCTGTGGACCTCCCTGAGGCCCGCTGCCTTTGCCTGGGCTGTATCAATCCCTTCACGATGCAGGAGGACCGAACCATGGTGAGCGTTCCTATTTACAGCCAGATCCCTGTACGTCGCCATCTCTGCTCCTTGTTTCCCCGGGCTGGCTGGAGGCAGCAGAAGGCCTGTGCCCCAAGGCGTGTCATGGAGACTATCGCTGTGGGCTGCACCTGTATTTTCTAAGCAGGGCCCAGAGAATGGCACTCTCTCCTCTCTGATGACAGACCTACGATATTGAATCACAGCAGGGCTGCCTTTAGCACTGCTGATCCAACAATTCAATTTGATTCAACAAATATTTATTAAATGCTTATTGTATGTGAAGCCTTATACTTGGATATGAAGATGGAAGATGGTATGGTCTCATAGGTTTTTGGACATCACCAACATGGGAATTTGTTTTGCTGGGCTATGCATATTTGTTATGAGGAACTTTTTTAATTGTTTAATTGTTGGGGGGAGAGGAAGGGAGAGATAATAAATGCATATAAAAAATAACAAGTCTCTTTTTAAAAAGAAAGCCAATGAACTATAATAAAGACTAGACTTAGGAAAAAGTGGGGAGGAGGGGAGACAAGAGGAAAGAAAATAATACGGTCTCTGACCTCAAGGAACTTTTACACTCTATTGGGAAGTTGGGGAGAGAAGAAATAACAAGTGCATAGTATAATACAGGGTTAAAGCATGATGTGAGAAAAATAAGAAATACATAGCACTCTAAGAAAGCATGAGGCCCAAGAGAATAATTTTAGGTGGGAGTGGGAAGCAGTGATGTCATGGAAGGCTTCACAGAGTTGAACTGAGCTGAGCTGAGTACGGATAAAACGATAAATAAAATTGAGTGAACGTAAAGTATTCCCCCCATCCTGCTCCCTCTCCCCTCCTCGTCCTCCCCATCTCCAGGGCTTTGCCCTCTATTCCCAGTTCAACACTCCACTAGGGTGACGGCAAGAGAAGTGTACGTGTGGGGTGGGGGACGGGGAGGACGTTCACTGTGGGGGAAGGGGGGCAGAGAATTAGTTTTAAGCTTCTTGAGGGAAAGGACTATTTTTTCATTTTCTTTTCTTTGTATTCCCGGCCCTAGTGCCTGGCACACAGTAAGTGCTTAATAAAATGTTTGTAGATTGATTGGCTTAGCAGAACCCCTTGCAGAAAGGAAGGCCATACCCTGCCTAATCTTGACAGCCTTGTGCTTGGATTACAAATTGTTTGAGCTTGGACTGGGAATACTGTAGAGCAGGTCTGACCTCCAGATTGTTCTCTAATTCAGTAAACATCTATTAATTATATACTATTTGAAAGGCCTCTGGGGATACACAGAGAGACATGACATAGACCTTGCTCTTATGAAGTTTATAACTCAATAGAGAGAAAGATATATAGAGATAGAGAAAGAGATAGAGAGAGAAATAGAGAGAGAGATAGGGATACAGGTATGTATAGATAGAAATCTTTGTAGGTATATACACATATATGTATATATACATATCTAGATATCTATAATCTTTCTATATACACACATATGTGTATATATACATATACATATTTGTATATATGTTTATATAGATATCTAGATATCTATATCTAATCTTTATATACATATATATGCCTGTGCATGTATATATTGATATCTACATATGTATATATCTATATATGTATACATAGATATAGATATAACTATCTATATTTATACATATATACACACATACATAACTCTAGTCAGGCCTATGTGAGATAAGTGCAACAGTCAGAGACTCCATGCATAATGGAGGTTTAGTGCATGCCTAGACCATCTAAGATGGGCCAGGAGGTGAGAGGCCCCATAAAGAACTGGATATAATTAGGATGCCAAAGAACTGGGCAGGAGCCGGAGAAATCTTAGTTGTCATTCCAAGCTATGGAACTTCTGGTCCCACAACATACACACCAAAAAAAGGTAGATTTTGCTTCAATAAAAGGAAGAACCTGCTAATAATTAGAACTGTCCTACAATAGTGATCTCCCTGTCACTACTAGGTATGATAATCATAATCATAATCATATAACCTCAAAGGTGCCTTCCAAATCTGAGATTTTATATAGCGCCTACTCTTAGTTGTCCTCAAGGGCCCTAACCCTACTACACTCTTCAGAACAGCTGAATTCTGTGTGTAAGTGCAGACAGCATATGGTGACCAGCCACAGGAAACATCAGTGCTTAAGCACATTCCAAACATGTTGTTTCCAATCCTTCTTTTCTCTGTAAAACAATGCAATAAAATCCTGGTATTTGGGCCACAAGTTCTTCCAAACAATAAGTAGATACCACATGACCCTAAAATAAATGACGAACATAACAGCGTGAGGATGATTTTTATAGCTAATATCTCATTAGGAATCATCAGATTCATTGTTTACACTGCAGGTTGGCCAAAATATAGTCCTCCTTCCCCACCCCTCAGTTGACATTCAGTGGAGAAGTGGAAAGAACACAAGATCTGGAGTCAAGACGATTTGAGTTTGAATCCTGCATCAGAAACTTAAACATTTACACACACACACACACACACACACACACACACACACACGCACTTAGAATCAGACACTTAGACACAATCAGAGATTAGTAACAGCTTAACCCTGGGCAAGTCACTTAATCTCTCTCAGTATCAGTTTCCTCACCAGTTAAATGGGAATGATGATAGCACCTACCTCCCAGGGTTGTTGTGAGGATCAAATTAGTCACCATATGTAAAGTGCTTTGAACATTTTAAAGCATTATATCACAGCTAGCTTTCCTTATATGAAGATAATGATGATAACAATGATAATCATGAGGAGAGCTATCAATAAATATTTAAGCACCTACTATGTGCCAGGCACTGGAGGAAAGTTCAACCATAGCTATATCTTTGCACACATACATACCCAAATTATGTATTTGGACATCACACTTGTGATTTTATTGATGTAGGAAACTTCTGGTGAGGAAGCTATCTTTATTTACCAAAGAAAATCATTGCTGGCTCTGCATTCATCCTCCAGAGTTGCTTGAGGGCACTGAGAGGATGAGATTTGCTCAAGGTCACACAGTCAGAATGTGTAAGAGGCAGGCCTCACACGCAAGTCTTCCTTACTCAGAAGGCAGTTCTACTATCTGTGTGTGCAAATAAGTACAGGGCAGCTAGGTGGTGTGGTGGATAAAATGTTGGGCCTGGAGTCAGGAAGATCTGAATTCAAATGTGGCTTCAGACACTTAATAGCTGTGTGACCCTGGGCAAGTCACTTAACCCTGTTTGCCTCAGTTTCCTCATCTGTAAAATGAACTGGAGAAGGAAATGACAAACCACTCCAGTATCTTTGCCAATAAAACCCCAAAAAAGGATCACAAAGAGTTGTACATGACTGAACAACAACAAAAATGCATGTACATGTATAAAATGCTTATGTGTATGAAAATACATATATGCATGTATAGCCACTCAAAAGATTTTAATAAATCAAGCGCCTGTGATTATATGAGTATATGTACTCCTTCTACAAATAGTATACTGGGAGTTACTGTAAAAAGAAAGAAAAAGAAAGAAGGAAAGAAAGAAAGAAAGAAAGAAAGAAAGAAAGAAAGAAAGAAAGAAAGGCAGTAAAAAGACAAGGGAACCCCTGGGGACCGACCCTTTGATTATTGCATTAGGCTTTTTGTACTTCACTAGGGTAGGCCTTTGATGACAGACCTGGCCTATACCTCAAGTCTGCTAGCTTGTCAGAACTTTGTCAGAGCCTTTGTTCTGGCAGTTTTCAAAACCCCAGGGTGACTTCTATGCTATGTTAAGGCATGTATTATGGGAGAAATATCTCCTTTTTGAGCTCATGTAGTGGGTAACTACTACCAAAATAGATCGACTGCAGAAATTATAGAGGTTAAAAATCTATGTTTAATTTCATTTTACTTATTATTCATTATTATTATTTGTTTTTTTTATTATTATACTTAAGCACAGGTATAGGAGGTAGAAATGTAATCTTGAAAAATTACTAGGATCCTAACAAGGTTTTATAGACCAAATTATGTCAGTGACAGAGAAATAATTCTTTTACATATTGCAATTTCATACATTCTTTTGCTATAAAAGCTTTTTAAAAAGACAGATTCACAACCTATGCTTCCTTCAATGTCATAAAAGTTGAATAAACTTAGTTAAACAGAATCATAATCTCATACATTCCCTAAGGAAATAAACCTAGTTAAACAGATTCTATGGGTAAACTAAGTCAGGTTACAGATTAAACTACATTTAGAGGGTTCACAATGGGCTGATCGAGGGGGAAGATTTACACGTCACCAGACACCAAGATAACCAAGGAGCTGGGGACAACTGAGATCCTTCCTCTGGATCCTTATCTGAGTAATGTTTGAAGTCTTAAATAAATTTTCACATCCCATGAGACTTGTGTCAGTCAACTCAACAACCTCCAAACTGGGAGAAACAGCCCTGATTCCCTCCCATCCCCAGATAATAAAAATTAATAAAAGGAAACCAAAAATCAAAAATTCCTGAACACATGGGAGGAAGACTTAAGTGAGGATAAAGAAAACCTCATTACCCCAGAAGTACCCTGTTGCTTTTCTTTCTATACAAATATAGGTAATTTGATCTTGTCATTTTTATTGGTGTTTTACTAAGAGTGCAAGTATGGATCATCCTACAGTTGTACTGATAAGATTTAGGAGAAAAGTGTAGACTATTTTTTTGACAAATGTTTCCATTTTTGAAATACCCACAGAGCAGATAGATGTCAGAACAATGTAGTAGGAAAAACACTGGATTCAGAGTCAATGGCCCTGGATTCTTATCCAGCACTGCTGCTCACAGGTTACCTCTTTAAACTTGTAAACAAGTCACTTAACCTCCCTGGACTTCAGTTTCCTCATCTGTAAAGGCAGGGGTTGGATTAGATGCCCCCTAAATCATCTGCCAGCCCTAAACTCTATCATCTCAGGCAGAAGTCACTTGTCCATCTTGCTGTAGTTCAAATTAGCCGTAACTTGGACTATGAACATGTGCCAGTCTCCAGTTATCCCCATTCTATTCATTCTGCCCACATCTGCCTTCCCTCCACTCAACAAACAAAAACCCCACTTAACTGTTTCCCACCAATGGCTATATCCTGTGTCTCTATCCTTGCTGCCAAAGTGGGATATACCTTCATTCTCTCAGGAGAGCCAAGAACTGGCCAGTTTGTTGAAGTCTTGACAGGGACCATGGCCTGCTTCCCCAGAGACAAGGAGAAGAGATAAATCTCTCTTCAATTTCTACCTATTCTTCACAGCTCATTTCCTTCCCAGCTTGTTTCTGGAATACATCTCTGCTGCTATCTCATTCTGGAACTTTCCTTAGGAACTTTGCAGGGGCTTCCTCATCCTGGAATATCCAACTACCCTGGAATATTCCTGGTCCCTTTCTCCCATTGTCAAGTTCCTTCTGGGGCCTCCCTTTTGTGGAACAGTCCAGGCTGCCCTTCCTTCCCCTCCCATGCACCTAAGTACCTTCTCACTCCCCTCTAGAACATGAATTCCTTGAGGTCAAGGTCAAGTTTAACACAGTGCCTGACACATAGTAAACAGTTCATAAACGCTTGCCTTTTTTCGTCCCTTGTTCCTTTTTTCCTTCCTTCCTCTTCCTGTTTTCTGAACACTACCTATTTGGCTTTTCAAGGACAAGCCATAATGCTATCTTCACATTTGTCTTCTGACTTCTTTTATGAGAATGTCCATGTTTATGGGTACAGTTGTTTCAGCAGCACATCAATCCAATAGCTGGACAAAGATCTCATATTTAGATTATCAAGAGTTAAAACTGTCTGTAGTCTAAAAACCACGTGATTTCAGCATCCCTTGCCTCCTTTTTTCATCACTCTGCAAAAGCAGGACAAAACTGAGAGTCATTTTGTACTTTTGTTTCATGGTCAAAGAATTCATCACCTAGAGGTCAACCAAGTGGACATAGACCTTTATGAACTTAGCTAGTCTTGTCCTTGATTACTGGACACCATTTGTTTCTTCCTCTTTTTTTAGTATTTTTCCCCAATTACATGTTAAAATAATTTTTTCAAATTTTTTTTAAAGTTTTGATTCCAAATTCTAACCTACCCCCCTCCATGATGACACCATTTGTTTTTAACACCATAGTCAGGGCCTTTCCAACTTGGTAGAAACTGCCAGAGCTCAGGATCAACTGGCAAGCTGGGCCTTGGTTTTCTAATCTGTAAAATTAGGGGGTTGGAATAGATACAGGGTTAACCAGGGATCGATGAACTTGTTTTTTTTTTAATATTTTATAACTATTTCAATATAGTCCATTTCCTCTGTAATCCTATATATTTTGTTTTATTTTATTCACTTAAAAACATTATTCTAAGAAGCGGTCCATAGGCTTCACCAGACTGCCAAATGGGTCTGTGAGACAGAAAAGGTTAACAATACTGGACTACATGATCTGTAAGGTCAGGTATCGGGCTAAATCAATGCTGTATCTTTTCCCACTCCTATCTCCACTCTTACTTTACCCTTCAATCAGGAAACCAGGAGTTGAGTCAATGGCAGATTTAGAAGACTGATTTTTATTTAAAATTAAATAAATAAAAGAGGTGTAATTTTGCCTCCACTTTCCCTTCCCCGAAGGCAATTACCCCCCAAAATCCATGAAAGGCAAGCAGAAAGGTCTGACAGAGGAGGGAGAAAGGATCACACAAGACATATCAAGTGCGTGGGACACAGGTTTCCCTTTACTTTAGAAGCTATCACTGATTTGGGATCAAGAGTCATCATTACAGGATACTTTAAGCTCCAAGAAGACAGAGGCCCTGTCTTATCCACATCTGTATCACATTAAGCCTTTAGAGTACAGGACTCCACAAGAAGCAAGTGCTTAATCAATGTTCTTTAGATGAATGCATGAAGTTTCACAGACTCCTACCCATCTCCCTTTCTTCTAGTAGTTCTCACAATTCAGTCTTAATTTTGTGTATCAAGTCCTTCTGATCAATCTTATCCAGGTCTTGGTACCAGCGGTTATAAGCCAAGAGGGCCACATTTTTAGCTGCCACAGCACTTATTTCCACAGAACTAGCTACCCACTCGAGGGCATTGAGGTAGAAGAGCTGGTCATGGAGGGCAAACAGTGGTGTAGCCATACGAGAACCATACTGTGGATAGGCCTGCCATTGGGCTGTCTGGACTGAGTAATAGGAACGGAAAAGGCTCTTCAGCTGGGGACGTTCCAAGGGCTGGGGGGACAGGACGCGCCAAATGGCTGCTTCCTGCGGTTGCTTCCTTCGGAAGGTAGCTGAGATGTTGACAGGGCAAATGTTGTCCAGGGCACAGAAGAAGAGATTAGGGGCATCTGTAGAAAGAATGCTGGCAAAAGGGAAGAGCTTGGGGTCAGGAAAGCCAAAGTAAGAGGAGTTGAGGTAGCCATGGACCAGGGAGGTGACGGTGGATTGGAAGGAACCAACAAACTCCTCGAAGGGAGGCTGAAAGCCGTCAAAGGTGATGTTGCTGTTACTGCCGACGTAGAGGGGAGTAGCAATGACTACTATATCATAGAAGTCTGAATGCATTTTATCCTCCTTCTCATACCACACCTGATAAAGGGCTCTCCCTTCTGAGGAGAGAGATAAGAGAGAACAAAGATCAATTTATCTCTTGGCTACTACCTACTTACAACCCTACATGTCTACTGGAACATATAATAAAATACCAGACACTTGACTTGGAATCAGGAGATCTGGGTTCACATGCTATCTGAAACACTTGCTGTAACCTTGGACAAGTCACTTAACTTTTTTGGAACTCAGTTTCCTCATCTGTAAAATGGGAATAATAATACCTATATTCAGAGAACCTATTTCACCAAGGAGTTGTGAAGTTCAAGAGAAATAATGGATTTAAGATTCTTTGTAAAATGTAATATACTATATACAAATTCTACATATATACATATCAGTTCTTATCCCAATTTTTTCATTAACTTGCTGTGTGGCTGTACAAATCACTTCACCTTTCAGTTATTTTCTCACCTGTACAGTGAAGGTATTACCTCTCCTTTCTACCTTACAGAGTGTGTAGGATCAGATCATATGGTATATATAAAAACATCCTGAAAAGCACAGATTACACACTGTACCAGTAGACAAGATTAGCATTGCTTCACTGCAGAGTGACCACAACCATTAAAACTGCCCTGATCAGGCTACAGACCTGTTAGTTCTAGCTACACTCATTTTCATTAGTGACCCTGAAGAATTCCCCTATCAAAATGTTCTTCTTTTCAGGGTACAGCTCCTCCCAACCCACCCTACCCCCATTTTTCAATCACCCTCACCTTCTCAAACCCCAATAGTAACTCCCCCCGACTTTCCAAGGAGCACAACATTATTCCCTTTGTCTTAGGATCCTGGGCAAGGCCAATGGCACCCCAGAAAAGATGAAGCCAGTGAATGATTTCCCAAGAAACAACACAGCAGAGAAAAAAGTGCAGTGGAAAGAGACAAGTACCGGGGGCCCCGAAACCTCACAATGCTAGTTCTGACACTGCTAATAATAGGCTGTGGGACCCTGGGCAAGTCACTTCCCTTTTCAGGGCCTCAATTTTCACATCTGTAAAATGAAGGGCTTGTTCTAAGACTCCAAAAGTCCCTTCTTATTCTAACAATACATGATCCTGTGGCTAGAAGCGTAAAGACAGTGCCCTCTAGTGTCTGAAATCACTACTGTAGATGCCTTCTGCTGTTTCCCTAGTTACCCACAAAATAGGGTTTGGAGATTCAAGAGGCAAAAATGTCAAAGCCTCTGAGACACTATAGTGACTTTGCCTGGGCCAAAGAGGTGGCTCACTGCCCTTCCATGCTGTCTACTTGCTCCCTTTGGCTTCTTGGCCACCCACCTGTGTTGTGCAAGGCCACAGAGGTCACCCTGGCGTGTATCACATTGGCCTTAGTCAGCTTCAGCAAGCCTGAACATACTAGCTTATTGCCCCCTTCCACAGCCCACAGGTTCCCCTGTATTCCAGCAAGTGACATCGCTCCTGGAGGAAAATGAGAGAAAAACGTGGTCATTTTACTCTGAGGGTCAACAGGGTGGAGAGGCTAATTTTTAAAAATTACTTCTAGTTTTCAACATTCACTTCCATAAGCTTTTGTTTTAAATTTTCTGCCTCTCCCTCCCCCCCAAGATGGAGTGCAATCTGATATAGGCTCTACATATACATTCCCATTAAACACATTTTCACATTAGTCATGTTGTAAAGAATTAGAACCAATAAGAGGAACCACAAGAAAGAAGAAACAAAGCAAAATGAAGAAAAAAAAAGAACAAATAGTATGCTTCCATCCGCATTCAGACTCCATAGTTCTTTCTCTGGATGTGGATAGCATTTTCCATCATGAGACTTCTGGAGATGTCTTAGATCTCTGCTTTGCTGAGAAGAGTTCTGTCTATCAAAGTTAGTCATAGCACAACGTGGCTGTTACTGTGTACAACGTTCTCCTGGTTCTGCTCACTTCACTCAGCATTAGTCCATGAGAGGCTAATTTCTTAACAAATGTTCAATTCCCAAACACTGTCTACTATGGTTCCTGAAAAGTGCACAGAAGATCTCCCTGGAAAAGTCAAGGAGGGCCCTCCATTTGAGAGATATTGGTACAGGCTAAGAAGACAAGTCAAAAGCCTGAAGCTCACCTGCAAAGGCTGCCATTGTTGCAGACTGCCCATAACTGGCACGCAGCAGAGCTGTGATCACCTCATCAATGAAGCGCTGTGTAACTCCCACTTCGAGCAGACATTCTGCCACAGAGCGCTGGGTCATGTTGATAAAGGTATATTCACCCACTGAGTACAATAGCTCCTCCACTCCTGAAAAGGCATAGCCATGTGCCTGGTACTTATATATTCTGAAAGAAAAGAAGAAACCCCCAACGAGGGCCCAGGCTTGTGAGTATATCCCAAACAGAAGCACTGCTGAGTCACTCTGCCGTAGTAGTGGGTATACAGGGCAGGAGGAGAAGACTTATGGGACCCTCTATAATTCCTGAATGCAGAGGACTTAGGAAGAAAGTTGGTGTGAGGCAATGTAACAGAAAGAACACTGGATTTGGAAACCAGAGACTTGGGTTTGAATCTCAGCTCCACAACTTACTAGCTGTGTAATGCTGGACAAGTCATTTCCCCTCTTTCAGCCTCAGTTTCCTCATGTGTAAAATGGAGAGAACAGTACTTGTATTACTTACTTCATAGGGCTGTAACAAAGATCAAATGAGAAAATGTACAGTGCTTTTCAAACTTTAAAATGCTATGCAAATATCAACTATTAAAACCTTATTATGGTTCTCCTTATTTTCTATGTATCAAACTTGTAACTATCACCATAGTTCAAATACTTCATCATCATATATTTAACAGTAACTTAGATCACTCAATCAACCAATCAATAAGTATTTATACTTATGTGCCAAACACTGAGGAAACAAAACCAAAAGTGAGACCATCTCTGCCGCCAAGGATGGCATTCTAACAGGGGAGACACGGCATATGTATACACATACATGCACATATACACACATGTACAAAGATATATATACACACGCATACATATTTATATGTATACATATATACACACATATTTATATACACATATACACACATATATATATATATGAATATACAAAATGTATACAAGGTGGTCTGAAGAAGCAGGGCACTAACAGTTGGGAGTGGGTGGCGACCAGGGAATCATCTTCATGAAGAAAATGAAGTTTGAGACAAAGACTTTTTCCCACTTGGTTGCTTCCCTTCTTATCCTAGATTTTGTCTGTGCAGAAGCTTTCAGTTTCATGTACTCTAAGTGATATATTTAACCTTTTGAAATTGCTTCTATCCCTTGTTTGATTAAGAATTCATATCCTACCCAGTGCTCTGAGAGGTATAGGATCTGCTCCTCTCCTAAATTTTTTAATAGAATCATCTTTAATATTAATATCACATATCCATTTAGATTGTACTGTGGAAGATGGTGTAAGGTCTAAGTCTCATTTCTGGCAGACTGCTTTCTAGTTTTCCCAGTTTTTTTGTTTATCAAACAGTAGGCTATTGAGTTCCACTGTTTCTGATTCTCCCTTGTATGGCCTATTTCATTTCTCTACCTTCTATTTTTTACCTAATACCGTATGATAACTGTTGTTTTATAATACAATTTGAGGCCTGGAAGTGCTGTTCTTCCTTCATCCATATTTCTTTTCACCATTGCCCTTGATTCTAGATCTTTCTTTTCCCAAATGAATTTTATTATTTTATAAAGTTCTATAAAGTATCTCTTTGATATTCTATTGGTATAGCATTAAAAGTATAAATTAATTTTGGTAGCATTGTCATTTTTATTATTTTGGCATAGCCCATCCATGAGCAATGAATATTTCCCCAGACATTTAAGCTGTTCTTTATTTGTTAGAGGACTTTGTCATTGAATCCATATGAGATTCTTGTGTGCTTTGGTAATCTGATCCCCAGATACTTTTTGTATTTAGTAGTTATTTGGAATGATTTCCCTTTCTACTATTTATTCTTGGATTCTGTTATCCTTATATAGAAATGCAGTTAATTTTTAACTGCATTTTTGTAGCTTGCAACTTTGATGAAGGTATTAATTGTCTCAATTAGTATTTCTGCTGATTCCCTAGGAATTTTCAAGTATACCATCACATTATTAACAAAAGGATAGTTTTATCTTCTATTTATCTATCCGTATTATTGATATTGCTAGCATTTCCAGAACTATGTCAAACAACAGTGGAAAATTGGGAATCTTTGGTTTGCTCTCGTGTTTATAGGAAGAGATTCTAGTGTATCCTTACTATGTGTGATGCTTGCTTTTGGCTTTAGATAGATACATTTTATGTTATTAAAAAGAGAGTCCCAGGGCAGGTAGGTGGTGCAGTAGATAGAACACTGGTCCTGGAGTTGGGAGGCCCCGAGTTCAAATCCAGCCTCAGACACATGATATTCACTAGCTGTGTGACCCTGGGCAAGTCACTTAACCCCGACTGCCTCGCCAAAAGAGAGAGAGAGAGAGAGAGAGAGAGAGAGAGAGAGAGAGAGTCCCTATGTACTTATACTTTGTAGGGATTTTAACATAAATGAGTCTTGTACCTTGTTACAGGCTTTTTCTGCAAGAAGATGAAGCTTGGGCTGAGTCTCTAAAGTAACTAGAGATCATAGCAAGCAACTAACTGCAAACATTTCCTCCCTGGCTGCTCTCCTGGACTTCATCATGGTCCCCAGAAACTCATTTTCCTGCAAGATGGAATCAACTCTAAAACTCACACCTTCTCAGTATCCTTGCCCCTGTGGCCCCTCCCTTTCTCTAACTGAAACAGGTGGAAGGTGAATAGAGGAGACCTCTTCCCAGATCTTCCACTTAAGGAGGGGGCCCAGGGCACAATCTGGCTTCAAGATTTCGACATGTCCCTGAGCCTTCTCCTCCACCCTTTTCAGCTTTGTTTTATGTGTGGCCTTCCCCAATTAGATAGTGAGCTCCTTAAGCCCAGATGCTGTCTTTTGTCTTTCTTTGTATCCCCATTGCATCCCACAGTGCCTGGCACAGAATGGATATTTAATAAATGTTTACTGACTAATATGTAACTAGGCTCCTTGCCTCCAGTTTCTCCTCTCTAAAAAGTTTTCTCATCTATAAAATGAATGGACTAGATTATACGATCTCAAGGGCTCTAGTTAAATTGAGCTTGCTGTTTCCCAAACATATCTTATACTTTCTTGAGTCTATTCTATTGCTTATATTATTCCCTTCATCTGGAACGAACCAGTTTCTCTACTCTACTCCCCTTTCTAGCTGTCTCTACCAAAACCTTAGCTATCCTTCAAAACGCAGTTCTAAGTCCTACAAACACACTTACAGAGTAGTCTTCCCAATACATACATATCCCTTAGGAAATGTTACTTACTCAAAAACCTTAAATGATCCTCTTCCTCTCCCCTTTCCCACTGCTGATAAAATAAGATTAAGTTCCTCATTTTGGCATTCAAGGTCTTCAACCAGCTAGCCCCATTTCAACTTTACTTTTCCCTCATATGTAGCCTACACTCCAGCCAAACTAAACTTGCTGTTTACCAGTCACGTCTTCTACCTTCTTAAATCAGTTTTGCTGTTCATTCCATTCCCAAAACCTGCAATATACCACATTCCCTCCCCTAAGTCCAACTATGTGTGTCTACCAAAATATTAGACATCCTTCTAAATTCAATTCAAGTGCTACCTTCTCCTTCCCTAAGTATCTCCACTAGATATAACACCCTCCTCTAAACTTCTAATGATAACAATAGGTCACACTGCTCGAGTTCTTTGCAATTTATACAGCACTTTTTTTCAAAACATCTCTTTGAAGTAGGTAGTACAACCATTATTGTATTATCCCCATTTTACCCATGAGAAGACTGAGGTTTTGAAATTCCATGCTCTTAGTCACTCTGGGATTCAGTTTCCTCATTCATAAAATGAAGGTTAGACTAAATGAGATTTCCAAAGTCCCTTGCAGTTATGGCTCTACAATATAATCTGAATGAGTGCTCAATGAATGAAACATAGAGCACAACCCTAAAAATAAGAGCTATTTGAAAGAAGAAACGTACACAAGTATGCTTATTCTATATATACTTAAATATACATTTGTCTCTCTGTTTCCAACTTAAGTTCCTTAAAAGTAAGGATTGTTTCATTCTTGTTTTCGTGCCTCCACCACCTAGCACCGTTGGTACATGGTAAGAATTCAATAAATGTTTTGAAATGGAAATGGAAAGAACCAAGAAAAAAAAAATGAAATGTTGAAAATTATAAACAAAAGGCTTGGCCCCAAAGAAGAGATATGAGAAGATACCTCCCCCTCCTTCTTTGCAGAGGTATACAAGGGGAAATTTAGTCTATAAAAACAAAAGACATCAATGAAAATGTATTTTTTTAAATGCTTGTTGATTGTATTATTATAGGCCATACTGAGGTTTTTAACAAGCTAGATATACAAAAAGAAAAGAAAAAAGTATGGTCTATAGTCAAACCAATATGGTAAACTATAAGCTATTTGAGGACAGCAAACACTCCCAGTCTTCTACCACTTTGCTATGTGATTCATAGGAAGTCACTGACTCTCTTTGTGCCACAGTTTACTCATTTGTAAGATGACAATAATACTACTTGAACTGCCTAACTCACAGGACTTTGTGAGGAAAGAGATTTGTAAATAGAAAAATATTATAGAACTAGGAATTATAATTACTATTATCATGATTAAACTTCTTTTATAGCCCCTACTAGTGTGCCCATCACAGTCCTGGATACGTAGCCTAGGATAAACACACAAAATATAAGCTAATATGTTTTCAAGCTGTCAGGGACCTCAGAAGTAATCCAATACAATCTCATTTTACAGATAGAGAAACTGAGGCCCAGAGAAGCTAAGTGACTTTCCCAGTGTCAATCAGGTAATAAGCAGCAGAGCCAGGATTTGAACCAAAGTCCTACTACTCCACATTCAATGTTTTGGTTTGTTTGTTTTTTCCCATTGTGTCAAGACTATCACCTCATACAATTAGCAATTCTCATTCTAGGCTTTCTTTCTAATATCTATGCTAATGTAACTAACTATAGAAGAATAGCTGAACTGACTCTCATTCAATCCACCTCTAGCCAATCTATTCAAAATGGAATGTTCTCACCGAGTCCTCCACAGGGCCACACCTCATAAACTTTTCCATGACTTCCTCTACCCACATCTGCAGCCGCAGGAAGCTGATGCCATAGTGCCACCAGACTCGGAAAAGGTTTAGCAGGTACCAATCTGTCTCTTCCAGAATAAGCTGCTCACCACCAAATATGGCACTCTTCCCTGCTACCTCCCGCCGCTGTTTCAGACCTGAGAAAACAAAGAAGCTGCTCAATTCCTTTTCAGAGATGATCCAAGGTTGGGAGAATCCAAGCTGACATGATGAGGATTTTCAGTGTGACCATAGAAGCAAACATCTTTGAAGGGCTTGAGGAATGTTTCAAAGAATGAAAGACTCTTAAGGCTTGATGAGAGTTCAGAGAGTAACTCATTCAGCTACTACCTAAACGGAGGGTAGGGAACCTGTGGCCTCAAGGGGAGGTTCCCCACCCCTGACCCAAACAATAATCCCCTCTTTTGGCATGTGGACATCTAGACTCTGCTTGAAAACCTTCCCCAAACAGTCCACTACACTTGAGGACAACTTACCGTCACATTAAAGCTAAAAAATGTCTTGCTACAACTTATGATAATAATAGCTAGCATTCATATAGCACTTTGCGGTTTGAAAAGTGCTTTATATATGTTATCTCATTTGATCCTTGAAACAATTCAGTGAAGGAAATGATATTAATATTATCCCTATTTTATAGATGAGGAAACAAAGGCAGAGAGAGATTAAGTGATTTGCTGGGACACACATCTAGTAAGTGTCTGAGGCCAGATTCAAACTCGGTTCTTCATGACTCCAAGTTTATACTCTAACCACTGTGCCACCTAACTGCCACAGTTCTGGCCTCTGGATTCAAGCAGAATAATCACAATCTTTCAAATATTTGAAGGCAGAGTTCCAGCCTTTTGACTTAAGTCATTTCTCCAGACTAAACATCCCTCCCTTTCTTTCAACCAATTCTCACACGTCCAAGTTTGCAGTCCCAATCTGTTTATGCTGTCCAGAGCAATAGAAAGAGAATCATACTCAGAATAAGGAGGCCTGAGTTCAAAATTGACTGTGTGATAATGGGCAAAACCCTTCACCTCTCGTTTCCTAGATTCCTCATATAATTATGTGTAATACCCACCTCAGAGTTGTTGTGAGATAAGAGCATCATAAACCTTAAAGATCTACTATTGTTCAAGATGCTAATTATGGCCTGATAAGCCTTTAGGGAAAAGGAGGGAATGGAGTGGGGGAGAAGCCTGTGGTTTTATTCAGTGGAATCACTTTAAAGGGTAATCTTGCTCTAGTAGTAGGCTTTGCTGATGATTTCATAATAGAGTCAGTGATACCATCATAGCACCCAGGATCTAAGTGTCAAGGACAATATTACATGAATACGCTTGCCTGTGAAAATTCATGCCTGTCTTCAGTAGCTGTGTGACTCTAGGCAAGTCACTTAACCCCACAGCCTAACAAAAAAAAAAAAAATCATGCCTCTCCCACCATCCTTAGCTAGGGAGATTTTGGGCCTATCCACCAAAGTTTCTGGACCAACTTGAAGGTTTAAGTATACTTATCTTGGCCCTAAGATCCAATAATAAACTGGAACCTGAAATTCTTCTGAGACCAGGTCTAAGACTAGGACCAGCTATCATCTAGGGATAGGGAGAAAGACTAGACCTATGATTTCACTGGTGTAGGGAACTCCAGATGAGGAAATCCCTTCTTCCAATGTTGATCAGCACCTTCTCTGTAAGCCTTAGAGGGCTACTTAGCACAGTAAGAGTTAAGACTAGGCCAAATGTAGGGTCTAGGGCAGATTTCCCAAGGACTCAATAATTAAAACAAACACTATCCTTAATAATTATGCCAAGTAACCCTTCCCATTACACAACCTGGAGAAAGGAGTGTTTCTCATCATGTAAGATAACTGTCCTGTAGCCTATTAATTCAGAGAATCGGGAGATGGGAGAAATATCAGAGGTTCGGCTCAAAGAACATCAGATTTGAAGTAAGAAGATCTAGATTTGAATACTGTGTAGAGACTAAAGGATTTCTAAGTTCCCTTTCAGTTCTTGAACCTTTGCTTCCCCTTCCCCTGGCATCCCTAGTCAGCTGCTGCAGCCCTCACTTACCCAGGAGTTTGACAAAGTCCTGCATATGCAAGCTGAAGGAATTGAATGAGGCACCACCACTTTCATATTGCTGTTTGTTGACAGTGATGGTAGCCAGGCGGCCTCCAACAGTGCCCTTTTCGTACACATCAATCTGTACCCGTGGCCCAAAGAGCTGCTGAAGGAAATGGGCCGCTGCTGAGCCCCCAATTCCAGCTCCCACGACCGCTGTTAGCAAGGAGAGAGTGAGAGAGTGAGAGAGTGGAGAGAGAGAGAGAGAGATGAGGACACAAAGGAACACAGGGCAATGATGAAAGTGAAAAGTCCACAAGCAAACCAGAACTTTTGCTTTAAATCATTTATTCATTCAATAACCATTTATTAAATCTTGACTATCTACAAAGCCTTGTATTAGGCTAAGCTAGAGGAGATACAGAGCTAAGACAGCATGCATTCTGAATTCAGAAAGCTTCTATCACAGCACATTGGAAAGCATTAGGTTTGTAATTAAAGGATCCGGACTTAAATCTCCAAGTTATATAAACCTCAGTTTCCTTTTCTTTCCAGATTCTTGGATACCTACAGTCTAGTAGGAAGGATAGGACATGGACACAGATAACTTTAACACAACTTGGGACAATGGAAGTTCAAAGAAGTGGACCAAAAAGTGATAGGAGATCTGAGAGATTCCTTTCAGCTGAATGGCTTGAGGTAGAAATCATACAGGAGGTAGTCTCTGCGTGAGGCTTTGAAAAACAGGAAGTATTATAATTGACAGAAATGGAATCACATAATTTTAGAGTTAAAATAGAAAAACAAAGGATAGGACAACATGAAAAGATGGTAAGAATGTGGAGTGTGAAACGTAACAGTGCAAGTTAAGGTTGAAAAGGTAGGTTAGAGATAGATTGGGGAAGGAGTTGCAGGCACATCAGGAGTTCAGACTTTATTCAGGAAGCCGTGAAAAGCCACTTAAGAGGTTTTAGAGTGACCTGACATAAAAGATGATGCTTTATTTCATTAACGAATTTAATTTGGTAGCTTGTGAAGGATGGAGTGGAAAGAGGAAAGACTAGAGGCAGACAGACAATTCAATAAGGGATCTATTGGAATAGTGTGGGCAAGTACGATCTTCAAACATCTGAAAGGTTATTGCAGAGGAGAAGGACTGCAGTTCTACTAGGCCCTTACAGATAGAACTAGGGGCAGAGGTGGCAGTGGGGTGGGGAGGAAAGAGAAGCTACCGAAGGACAAGGTATACAAAGACCAGATCATTCTAAATCTTGGACAATTCCTGGATTTATCTGCTGGTCTTTCCCCAGCTCCCAAACCTTCTACATGGCTGTCAGCCCCACTCCCTACTACCCCACCTTCCTGAGTCTGCATCCCTAGACTGCTGCTCCCCCCAGCATCTGTCCCTGAGCTTTGCCTCACTATCCCTATGGCCCCATCATCCCCAATCTCAGCTTCAGCCCCTTGCCTAGGACTCCCACGTGAATCCTCCATCCATGGCCCAGACCTCCTTCATCCTTGCCTTCACCCAGGCCTGTATATTTCCCATCCTCCTCATCATTTGGGGTCTGGGCACTCTCAACTTTCTCTGTGGCCTAGCCCTTCCCCACGGAAGGTCTCTCTTATGCATAGCCTGGACTTCCCCATTCTCCCCTGGAGCAATGCCCTGGTCCTCTCCCATCCTCCTCCATCCTCCTCCATTCATTCTCCCCATCCTCAGTGCTTGATTCTTCCCCGTCCTCCTCCCATTCACGGCATGGCCCTTCCCCACCCTCCAGGGCCTCGCCCTCCTCCAGGATCCCCTCCATCCTCCGGCCTGGTCCTCCTTCATCCCCCACCCCACCCCCCGCAGCCTCCGCCGCTCCGCCCCCGGCGCTCTCGCAGGATACCGATTTTCCTGGGCGGGGTATCTCTAGATGCGGCAGCCGAGGCCACCAGGGTGATGAGAAGCACGGCGGCGCCCGCCATGAGGCTGCTCGAGGTGGGGGCCGGCCTAGGCTGGGCAGCGGGCGGGCGGCGCAGCGCCGGTGGGAGACCCTGCGGGCCACCGCTCCCCAGCCTTGGCACAACAGGCGGCGAGCCCCAGCACTCTGCACCCTACCTGAAAGGAGGAGAGGGCGTGGTGGCGGGGGAAGGGAGGGAAAGACTCCCACGGCCGAACCCATAGGCTGCTCGCTAGACCTGGCCCCGCCCCGCAACCGCCATTGGCATACTTGCCCGCCCATCCTGGCTTCGGGTTTCTAATTGGTCACCCTTCTTACCGACTCTCAGAGACCCTACCTTTCATTGGCCTCATAGTCCCTCAAAATCCCGGCCCCCCACCACCACGCTTCTTACTGGCCAACTCGCCTTCTATCCCTCGAGATCGGGACCTCTGATTGGCCCTAACAGTAGTCAGGGAGTCGGGGGGGAGGGGGAAACAGGGTGTCGTCTGAAGGGTCTTTGTCCCCAGATATTATTTCATCCTTAGCCCAAATTCTAGATCCTGGTCCATTGAGCAGGGGATCCAAAACCTTTAAAATCATAGGACTAAGCTCTAAGTCTTACAGATTCTGACACTCATTTTGCTAGTAAAATATATGATCCCAGAGAACAGACTGTTTTTCCGGTCTTTGGTGCCCAGCAAGGTGCCTTGTAAGGAGTTGGTATTTAATAAGGCAAGAATTGAAACTGAGGCACAGAGAGGTTGACTAAGCATGTGCACTGAGGTAGCCAAGGCACTGAATAGCAAAGTCTGACTTCAAACCCATCTTCTGACTCCAAAACCCAGCTGAGCAGACTGACTCCCAACAGTCCCTTCTCCTATGATTCACGGGGATTTCTGGCTGATAGAACAAGCAAAAGTGGAACTGACACACCGAGGATCAAAAACAGGGGAAGCTAGATAAAAAATACATAGAGTTAGATCACTGGAGACAGTCTAGTGATGAGGAGTGTTGATTTGCAGCCTATTCCTCATGGGGCACCATTCCTAGTCTCTTAAAGAACGTGGGTAGTCTGAGTACTAGCATATCTCAGGTATTGGAATATATTGGAATTTGGAGGTAGTTACTAAGCAAAGCTCCTGTGTATTGAAGAATAAATAGAATAGGGGGGTTGGGAAGCGAGGAAGATAAAGCCAATTACTTTTCAGAGAGGAAGAAAGAACTAAGCAAAAAACTTTAAGGCAGTATAAGGAATTTGTTCTAAGGAAGTAAGGGAGTTCCTGGGTGAGTGACTACATCTGAATGCTGTCAAAGTCAGAATTCCTAGGAGGGAAAACAACTCAGTTGGGGATGTGTCTCAGAATAAAGAGAAGTTTGATTTACTGGGTCTTTTTTTTTTCCAGAGGAGGAAACTCAGGTCCAAAGAGGAGAAAGGATTTGCCCAAGATAACACAGATTTCAAGTCAATGAATTCAAATAAACATTTATTAAGCACCTAATATGTACAAGGACCTAGGTATTAAAAAACAAAACAATCCTTGCCCTCAAGAAGCTTATGATATTACTGGGGAGATTCACCATATATCAGCTAAATAAATATAAACAAAGCAGTTTCAAAAGGGAGGGAGAAAGGAGATAGAGACAAAGACAGAGACAGAGGGAGGGAGGAGGAGGAAAGACCTCTTTTAAGAGAGGTAGAATGTAATGTATGGGGAATAGCTAGCAGGCTAGTTCAACTGGAACAGAGTGCATAAAACATAAAAAGAATAATATAAGACTAGAAGGGTAAGTGGAAGCCATATTATGAAGGGCTTTAAACACCAGGCTGAAGATATAGTATATGTCCTAGAACAATGGGGAATCACTGAAGATTTTTGAGTTGGAAAGAAGGTGACATGATCAGATCTATGTTTTAGGAATATCAATTTTGTAGCTTTGTAGAGAATCGAGTGCAGAGAACATAGACTGGAAGCAAGGATACCAGTCAAAACACTATTGTGATAGTACAGATGAGAAGTGATGAGGGTCAGAACTCAAGAAAGAGGCATATGTGAATGGAGAAATGGAGGGAAATGTGAAATGTTATAATAAAGTTAAAAAAAAAAAGACTGGGCAAACTATTGAATATGGAGCTTGAGGAAGATGGGTGTTTCCATCAAGTTTCCAACCTGATGGATTGGAATCATGGTGCCCTGACTTCCATTTTGGACTTGAGTCTGAGGTGCCTACAGGACATAAGCAAGCTGATGGGCCTGGATAGAATCCTATAGGATACTCACATTTAGCAGGTGGGAAAAGGATGATGAGTCAGGTAAGCAAATAACCAAGAAATAGCAGTGTCACAGAAGTCAGTGGAAGAGAGAATGCCAGAATTAAAAGCCAGCTTTCTGACTTCTAGCTTAGTGCCCAAACAAATATCAGTAATCACTTAATACTTACTGACTGACTATACCTCAACTTGTCACATCTAACAGTTGCCAAAAGAGGTTGTGACAGTAGAAGAGAAATTACAAAATACATAGTAACCCTTTAACCTAAAGATCCTCCAGCAAGGCATATGCCTCAAGGAGATTCAATACAGAAAGGGAGATTCCATATACATATTAATAGCAGCCCTTCTTGTTATAGCAAAAAAATGGAAATTGAGTAGATGTCCACTAATCGGGGAACACCTTAATAAATTATGTAAATGAATGTACATTACTAGATTGTAAGAAACAATGAATATGAAACATGAAAACTTCACAGAAGCATGGTCCCTCTTTGAAGGAGGGGAGGGACCTTAGGTGAGGAACAGTGCATATACTGTCAGACACAACTGATGTTTAGATTAGTTTCATTGAATTGTCTCTCCCTACCCTTTTTTTTTTCCTGAGGCAATTGGGGTTAAGTTACTTGCCCAGGGTCACACTGCTAGTATTAAGTATCTGAGGCTAGATTTGAACTCAGGTCCTCCTGACTCCAGGGCTGGTGCTCTATTCATTGAGCCACCTAGCAGCTCCTTTCTCCTCTTTTCTTTTAAAATCTTTGCTGCAATGGATAGATCTCTGGGTAGGGAAAGGGGAAATGAAAATAACATAGACACAAAATCAACAAAAATAAAATTTATTTTTAAACAATTTTAGAAATCAAAATACTTTCATATATTGAACCCACATCAAAATTATTTAAAGTAGATTTTATTCAGGATATTCTGAGCATATTTAATGCCTTGATTTTCACTGTTAGATTCTGCTTCAGTTATCCCATGATGATAATCATCAATATCAATAGGAAAGAACATTCTTTAGCATGAAACTTAATGTTGGCTACAAAAATTATTTTAAATACATCCAATTATGTGGCATGCTCAGGTCACTGGGTAAAGACAATGTCATCATAAAGAAAGAGTTTTAAGAATCCAGCTGCTTAATCCCCTAGCATCCTTTCTTCACCCTCTAAGAGGTTGCTACTTTCTTATAGCAATTTTTCACACTAAGGCCAAAAAGCTTATCACTGTCGTAGAAATAATTCATTAAGAACACTTATAATATGCTCTTGCCTCTAAAGGATTAAAATGTACATTTCTGTTCAAGGCAGGGACTATAAGGTTCAAAAATCTATGAAAGATCCAGGTCAATTTTATTGACATTGAAAGAATTATAAAACTGAACCCTGATTAACCAGAACCCCATTCTCTCACCCCTGCCTCTAGCTTTGAAGAAAAAAAAAAAAGGATTACAAACCAGAATCCAACATGTTATTTACAAGAAACACACTTGAAACAAAAAGACACACACAGAGTTAAAATAAGAAAAAGTCAAATCATAGCAAAAGAGAAAACATAAACAAGTAAGAAATTTACAAAACAAATCCTTGGGCTTAAATGGAGGTAACACAACTCTCAACTCTTTACAGCTACACCTGCAGTTCTGTACAATGACCAGTAGTTCCCTAAGTCATAGAAGCATTCACTGCAAGTTGCTAAATCATAAATAGAAAAAACTGTTACACAGCACAGGAGAAAGAATACTGGATTCTGATTTATGATTCTAAATTCATTTAGGAAGGGAAAATCTAAAAGCATGTCATTTTGCACTAGAAGGATACTTAATAATTGGTTCAACTCCATTTCACAGATGAGAAGGCTGAGGCCAAAATTAGGAGTGACTCACCAATAGCTATACAGAAAATTAATGGTAAAGCCAGACTGGAACTCAAATCTGCTAACCCTCAGAACTGTTGTTTTTCTGCTTTTTTTTTAAACACTAGACTTTTCTACATTCCATATAATTCTTAAAAAATTAGATCTTCATGTCACAAAAGATGCTGAAACCTGTATCTAAAGACAGAACAAAGGCATCAATGGTATCATGGAAAAGTCTGAAGACCTCCAGGTCCTCGTTCCATTACTCATTAGCTGTTTAACCTTAAGGAAGTCATTTCACTTTCCCTGGCCTTAATTTTCTCTTCTAGAAAATGAAGGATCTATCTGGATTAGATGTGCTTTAGGGCCCCTTCAGATCTGAAATGTCCATGATTCTTTGAACAGGTTGTGGAAATGGCCCATCTAGTAGAGAAGGCCTTGTTGGCAAAGGGTCACATGCTCAGAAATTCACGGAAAGAAAAAAGCGGTGTAAGTGCTGCTGGCTACAATAACAGATTTAAAGTTTGGGGTCAAAACTGTTCAGTCTGAGTTACTAGTATTACCAATCTTCCTTAAGGATATCTTAAGGAAGAACAAACTACATAAAATGAAAAAAAAATAAGCTGCCTGTGACCCAACTCTGCAACAAACTATTTTTAGTTAAAAGCAGGCTAAGTTTGGAGGGATATAAGTCCAGATTAGACATATCATCACTACACAAGTGATTCTAAGTTGATGAATTGAAGCCCATAACCCTACAACTAGGGTTACTAGGCTTACATGATATGTTTTCCATGAATACTGGCTGTATGACCTGACCTAATCTAGTGAACTTATGATTGATTATCTAATTCTGTTCTGTAGTGACACAAGAGAAATGGTTAGAAATAGGACAGGCTCATGAAAAACCTATAGTAAGAAAAGTTTAAGTAGGAACTTTATTTCCAAAAAATATCACTCAGAATCTTAAAAGTAGAAGGAGCCCCAGAGGGCATCTAGCCCAACCCTTAACATCCATACAGTATTCCCAATAGTGCCTGTATAGGCTCTGCCTGAAAAACTCCATGGCCACCTAGCCTTTGCCTGAATTATTACTCTGAGGTAGCCCACTCTGTTTTAGGACAGTTCTAAAAGTAAGGAGATGAGTTCCAAGTAACTGGAGGTATTCAATAGAGACTAGATGACCACTTTGTTAGGGATACTGAACAGGTGATTCATGCTTCAAGTAGGGTTTGGAATAACTGACCTCTAAGTTCCCTTCCAACTTTCGGATTCCCATTCCTCAACCATGCTAACAAGTTTTTTAGCATGGCTGGAATATTTTCAGGGACTGAATTCACATTTCCTCTGGTAGTAATGTGGACTAAGGTAACCATTAACTTATTCACATTAAGTTTACCTTCTGGGGGCAGCTAGGTGGTGCAGTGGATAGAGCACTGGCCTTGAAGTCAGGAGGGCCCGAGTTCAAATGTGGCCTCAGACCAAACACTTGACACTTACTAGCTGTGTGACCCTGGGCAAGTTACCTAACCTCAATTGCCTAAAAATAATAAAAGAAAAATTTAAAAAAAAGTTTACCTTCTGTATCTTAACTCATCCAGTGAAATGAAAAAAAGATCTGCAACTCTTTCCAAGATAACTATGATTATTAACTTCAGAAAGACATGGAGTTGGCCTGAGGTTTCACCTTATATCCTGTAAACTGACAAAAAATGACAAAAGATGGTAATAGTCAATGTTGGAGGGGTTGTGGAATACTAGGCACACTAATAAATACATTGTTGATAAAGCAGTGAAACTTTCCATTTTGGAAAGCAATTTGGAAAAGTCTTCACATACACCAAAATATTTATAGCAGCACTTTTTGTTATAGCAAAGAATTGGAAACAAAGTAGATGCCAATCAAATGGGGAATGGCTGAATAAACTGTGGTGCATGAATGTAATAGAATATTATTGTGCTGTTAAGAAATGGTATCTGTAATGAATACAGAGAAGCATGAAAAGATCTATGTGAACTGATAGAGGGTGAAGCAAGTAGAGTCAAGAAAACAATATATACAATGTAACAACCACATGCAAAAAAATCAGAAGTGAATGTAACAAAATTATAAAACTCAAATATGACTTGAATAAACAGATACAAGAGGACATTCCCAACTCAACCCTCCATGGGGGTGGGAAGTCCATCGGTGTTACATCTTGCACATTTTTAAACTTTTTCAATATATGGATCAGTTGTGCTGATTTTTTTCCTCTTCTTTTTCTTCTCTTTTTTTTGTTTTAAAATTATCATTTGTTATATGGGATGGCAACTTGGGAGAGGAAGGGAAAGGAATACTGGGGAAAATTATGATGATGTAAAAAACAGGAGACATCAATTAAAAACATAAAAAAAATAAGAAAAAAATTTAAATGTCTTATGACTAAAAGCAGAAAGACACCTCTATGAGATCACAGATCTACTGATTATTAAGTACAAATATCGAAAAAGATGAAAAGGATGATTTTTTTACATTTCAGGTAAAATTCACTTAGATAAATCCATATATTATAAGATAGAATTGGTTTTCCTTACCAAACTCTAACATGTTTTCATATAAACATAGAAATATTAGCATTGGTAGGAAACTTAGAACAGACTGTCAGAACTAAAAGGAGAAAAAGCAGGTCAAATTAATTATAAGGAAAAAAATTAATCAACTGATCAATAAATCATAACATATATGATATGAGAGCAAAAAAAAATCTTAAAGAGCTGGTCTAACTCCTTTCATTTTATAGATGAGGCTCAAAGGAGAGAAGACTTGTGCGAGGTCACATAACAAAGGCAGAATATATAACAAACATGTCTACATATTCCTGGCCCAGTACACTTTCTATTAAGGTAATTTTGAATTTCGATTAAGGAATATGGGGAAGTGGGAAAGGGTGGGAGTAGGACATATCACAGAATTAAATTCAATTATAAACACATACCATATTACACTTTGTTTTGTCTTTCCACCTGAAAGACACCAGGGTACCGTTATTAATAAATAACTTTCTCCAACATACATTTTAAAGAAGGCCAATGACAGGACTTCTGATGAAGTCAGGTTATATTAAAGCAACTAAAGTCATAATATTGAACTAATAATCACATGATCATAAGATTAAAGCTGCAAAGTACCTTAGAAATTGTTTAGTATAAACCCCTCATTTTATAGCTCCGAAGTAATATGACTACTCATTATCACAGAGCTTTATGTCAGAATTGAAATGAAAATGCATGTCTTCTGACTCTTAATGCAAATTAAGAATACGTTTTTTTCACTATATAGATTAAACTCAAAATAGATCAGGCAAAATGTCCCAATTACAATACAAATCTGTGTAATAAATAAAGGAAACCCAAGGGGCTGTGTTCTGTGCAAGAAGAATGTTAATTTATCCTGGTCCCTGACCCCATCATTCCTGTGTCTCAACGGCCACACCCACTTGGGCAGGTCTGATGGTTCGACCATGAAGTTTGTAGCCATCCTGGGTAACAAGTGTCACTGTGCCTGGCTGCACTCCATCAGCTGGTATGTGACAAACGATCTCATGGTCATATGGGTCATACTTGTCACCAAGGGGGGTCATTTTCTCCAGGCCATGCTTAGCAAACACACTCTGCAGCTTGGCCTGGAGGAGAGAGAGTCCTTCGAAGACCTTCTTGAGGGTTGGCTTTTGGCCCCCTGGCTCTGCTTCCCCAGAGCTATGCTTGGTGGCATTCTCCAAGATATCTGCAATCTCTACCAAATCTTTGCAGAAACTCTGGATCCCTGGGGAACAATCAAACAAATGGAAAAAATTGTCCAGACTTACTAGATTATCTTAAAGGCTATACACTCACAGAATCCAATCTGTTTAGAGCTGAAAGGAATCTTAGAGGTCAGCAAGTCTACCCCTCTCATTTGACAGACCAGAGATCAAGGACAAAGAGTTTAAGTGACCTGCCCAAGAAAATAAGTAGTAGAAACAGATTTTGAACCCAAGTACTCTGATACTCAATCCAGGGTAATTTCTATGACAAAAGATTGGAAGGAACTAACTCCAAAGAGACTAAGGAGTACAAACAAGGGCCAAGGGTAAGTGATATAGAACATAGAACGTGAAACCTAATCTGGGTTTCAAATCCAGTGCTTTAACCACTCTATCACAATACTTTTTTGGCTACTTTTTAAAAGTAGAATTGGAATTTTATTGGTGTAGAAAATTCCTTGTGGAAAACTCCCTCTGCCAATGCAGATGAGCACCTTCCCTGTGATTTATAATCTAACAGAATGCTTGGGAGCACTGAGTGACTAAGTGACTTATCCAAGATCACAAAACCAATATGTGACAGAGTTGGGACTTGAACTCAAGTGTTCCTGACTCTGGTGACAGTTCTCTCATTGCCTCTTTGCCTAACAATAGTATCAATAATAGCTGTTTGATAGGTAGCACAGTGGCATAGAGCACTGGGCTAGGATCAGGAAGACCTGGGTTCAAATCTGCTATCATGCAATTAACTAGCTGTGTGACTCTAGTCAAGTCACTTAACCACTATCTGCCTCAGTTTCCTCAATTGTAAAATGGGGACAATAACAGTACCTACCTCCTGAGGATGTTATAAGGATCAAGTGAGATAATATTTGTAAAATACTTAGAACAGTAGCTGGCACATAGTAGGCACTTAATAAATAAAATATTTTCCCTCTTCTTTCCTTATATAACATTTTAAGTATTAGAAGATATATGTATACACATACATATACATATATATGTATGTATGTGTAGGGTGTGTGTGTGTATGTGTGTGTGTGTGTGTGTGTGTGTGTGTGTGTGTGTGTGTGTGTGTGTGTGTGTAATCTCTTCTGATCCTCACAACAACTCTATGAGTTACTACGAAGTTAATATTATGGCCGTAAGTCCCATTTTACAAATGAGGAAATTTATAAAGTATTTCAGCTCCTGCATTTTCCATCTCATTAATTTCTTCCTTGACCTTAATAATCTTAATTTTTCTTTGCTTCATTATTTTATTCCTTTTCTAATTTCCTTAAATGCAGATAATTCAAACATTGTATGGCTTTAGATACTTCACGTAAATTTTTATATATTCTTTTCTTCTTGGAATTTCATCATTTAACTCAGGTATGATTTAATAAGCTATTTATAAAATATCTGTGTAAACTTGCATCTTTTTATCATATTGATTTTTACTTTTAATTCTGTTAGAATTGATTTGTTCTAACTATTGATTTAGCTATTATCTATAAATGTGGTATGTGAAATACTTTGCCCTAAATTGACCTCAGACAACTATGAACTTGAAACTGGTCAACTATTGTGAATACTCCATATGAATCTGAAAAGAAAGCAATGTTTTAATTTTTCTTCATTAAGTTTTCAACACATATAACTAGTAAGTCCATCTTGTTTGTCACTGTTCAAGTCCATAATGTCTTTGTTGTAACTTTTATTTATCGTATTCTAATAGTACGGTATTGAAGCTTCTTATTATCATCACATTACTATATTCAAAGATTGTTAAAGCTGGAAGGGACCTTGGAGATCATCTAGTATAAACCCCTCATTTATCTGATACCAGTTAACATAAAAAGTGCTAATGTGATCTTAGACTACATTACTAGCAGGATAATGTCTAAAGTGACAGATGTGCCAATCCAACTGTTCACTGGCCTGGTCAGAGTACATCTGGAATACTGCATTCAGTCATGGTGGCCACATTCTAGGAAAAGTGACTAACAAATTGGAGCTCTACGGAGAAAGGTACTAATGGAACTATAAACCATAAACTATTCCATGTAAGGCCCTGGTGAAGATGCTGGGGATGTTCAGTCTTGAAAGGAAAAGACTTACAGGAGTATATAACTGAGGGATGTTCTTGTAAAAGAAGAAGAAAATTTGTGTTGCTTGTCCCAGGTCAGAATTATGACTATGAACAAAAATTATAGGAAGGCTGATTTCAGCTCAATTTACAGAAAATCTTTCAAATATAAGAACTGTCCAAAAGTGGAGTAGGCTACTTTGTAGTTAGTAGTGTGTTGCCATCACTAGATACCTTAAGGTGGAAGCTAAATCATCACTTGTGTGATACTCTATGAATGAATGAAAAGGCATTTATTAATGTCCCAACATTGTGCTAAGCACTAGGGATAAAAATACAAGCAAGCAAGGCAGTCCCTGCCTGCCCTCAAGCAGCTTATATTCTACTAGGAAAGACAACATATGTAGGGAAATGGTGGCCAGAGGAGAATATTTTGGAAGTCAAAAGGAATCAAGACTGAACTCATAGGTAAAATAATTGGCATATCCTTTTCAAGAAGGGTGATGTTCATTTGATTACTGTTCTCAGAGTCAGAGCTGGAAAATGGGGGTGAGATGGGAGATGTCTATGTCTATGTTGCTGAGGGGATTATAATCCAGTATAATATAATATAGGGGGGCAGTTAGGTGGCGCAGTGAATAGAGCACTGGCCCTGGATTCAGGAAGACCTAAGTTCAAATCCAGCCTCAGACACATAACACTTACTAGCTATGTGACCCTGGGCAAGTCACTTAACCCCACTGCCTAGCCCCTCCCCCAAAATATATAATATAATAGTCAATATAATACAGATGGACTAGATAGGTAACCACTGAGGTACTTTTTAGCTCTAAAGTTCTAAGTCATTTGCCCTAAGTTACATAGCAAGTAGTTTGGCAGAGGTATGAAAAGAAGCCAGATGTTTCTCTTACCATTTCCACTATATTTAGTACCATTTCCACCATACCACAGTGATTCATGGTAGTATGTAAAACAAGATGCTAGAGGGGAAAGTGTGGGCAAATGTGCACTGAATATATAAAGAGGGGCATGATTAATCAGTAATAAGAATGACTATTCATGTACTCTGTTCAAACAGTGGGTGGCAATTAGTCATCATCAGTACTGTTAGAAGAACAAATGGTACTATGCACCTCAAATAAAACCATAAGATTTTACAAAATGAAATCCAGGGATATTATAGTTAAGGATATCCAGAGTTCCTTTCAAATTAAACATTACAAAAAGCATAAATAGAATGGAAATAGATTATAGATCAATACAGTCTGCTAGAAAAACCTCACTGATTTTATTCTGCATGAACTGCAAAACCACTAATGAGCTGCTCTAAACAGAAAGATAAATGATTATGCACAATGCTTTCACTTACCAAATATCTTGGCATCTTCCACAAATTTCTGTGTGCGCCTCCGAACATGTTCAGAATCAGCCAGAGCTTTCTGGTATCTTTCCTACACAACAAGAACATCAAAATGATCAAAAGACAAGAGCTCATAAGTAGAAAATAGGCTTTTTTGCTCTATGTGGTAAGCCCTCGTCAAATGCATGTTTGCTTTTTAATCTTGCAACTGTAAGGGAACTTTGTTCAACAACCCTAATTAGCCAGCCTGCTTCAGGCTGGTGAGACTTGGCAACTTGAGTCAGAGGGAAGGGATCGTTAGAAAAGGCCAGAAAGAAAAACTGATGGATCCACAGAATATAACACAGAATATAACTTCTTTACTGTCCAATATAAGAAACCCCTAAGGGAAGAGGGGAAGAGAGGGTAAAGAAATGGACATCTCTAGGCCAATCATCTCTTGGATGAGCTTGCTTTTGTTGGGACCTCATAAATGCCATGGCACATTCCAAGATCAGGACAAAAAGACTGGGGCTTAGGGTGCGTATTTGACAGAAAGTACCTGTTTTTGCTGTGTCCTTTGTGTTAATATTGATAAAGTATAGTTAAGTAACTTTTCTGAGCATTAACTGAGTCTCTCTCCTTTGAATATTACATACCCAATGAAGGAACATATTCTACAGCATCACTAAGATTGTCATCTAAGCTACTTTATCCTATGTCTTGTTTAATAGAAAGACAGTAGTGGATTAGGCATCTGACTGTATACAACAATTTGAAAGTGGGCCAAAAGATAAATAGGTAAGGGGTAGGAATGTAGATAATACCTGTCAATAGGAAATCACAACTCTACAAAATAAGCTTGAAAAACTGGGTTTATTACAAGAGAAATGAAATTGTACTCAGAATCCTATGCAAATGTAAAGATTTCACGATCCAAATAGAGGCTTGCATATTGATGAGATTACAACAAAGAATGGAGGAGAGACAGCAATCCTCTCCTAAATGAAAGTGGCAGGGCAGGAGAAAAAGAGCAAAAAAAGCAGGAAAGGATTAATTCCCTCCCAAAGGAGAGGAGAAATTGTGGTTAAGATGGCAAAAGCAACATTCTTTTCTCTTGGGAACTGGCAATTCAAAAGACAAGTTCAAGGAGCCTCCAGAGCTCTTTACATGACACCACAATTTGGAAGACAGTGAGGGCAATGGCCAAAGGAAACAAGGAGTACATGATTCTTAAAATATCTGCTAGCTATGGGACATCCAAGAGCTAAAGATTCAGTGGAAAACAAAGACAGTTAAAAGGCAAGGGACTTCAACATAGTGAAAATCAATAAGGTAAAATCCTTGCTTTTGCTTAGAGCAGAGTCTGAAAAATGGACAGAGTCAAAGAATGTCACAGCTGGAGGAACCTTAGAACATGAATTGTCAAGGAGAAGGGAGGGACCTTAGAACACACAATGTTAGAGCTACAATGTTAGAGCTAGAAGGACCTTAAAGACTATCCAAGCACAACTACCTTAGTTTTCAAGAAGCAAAAATTGAAGCCTAGAGAAGTCAAGTGACTTCCCCAAAACAGTTAGGGGCAGAACCAGGACCAGAACCCAGATCCAGTCATTATTCAACATCAAAATCAATCCATGACAAACAATTCTGTTTACCTAATCTACTTCCCCTACCAAGACTTAACGTCCAGAGACTGCTTTCATTTGACCTAGCACCATCGTGAATACCTTTCCTATTGGCCCTATTTTGTCCCCTTTTGCCATTAGCGCTGTCCAAATGTACTGTTTCCCAGAATGAATGACTGCCTATATTAACTCTTCCATCAAACCCTGTCTCCTTCACCAGTGATGGCTACAATATTTGGGACTTCCCAAAGTCAGAGGATTAAAATGGTGGCAACACTGGCCGATCCAATAAGCTCAAAATAACCCACTCTGGCTTTTAAGGGCTGTGCTTCACCAGGTATCATGTCCCTACCCTACTTCCCAGATGCAGTACCCTTTCCACTTCAACTACCTCTTGCTATTGGAACTTCAAAAAGAGACAAAGCCAACTGGCCTGTCAAAACCATAATCAAACACTTCACATTTGTGTAGCCTTTGAAAATGGATTCTTCAGCTATAACCTGACAGGTTTGACTTGGATTCAAAGTATAATTCCTGCTTTGAAGAGCCATAATCCTATCAATGTCTAAACTTTCTCTACCAATGCAGCCTAAAACTCACCCATACCTTCCTTGGTGTAGTACATGAAGTCCTGGACTTGAAATCAGGAAGTCCTGGATTAAAATCCTATTTCTGACACTTGTTATTTATCCATAGACAAATAACTAACCTCTCCAAGTTTCAATTTTCTTATCTTTAAAATGGCAAAGATAATATCCATAATTTCTATACAAAAAATGAAAATTGAAACCAAACTGAAAATCAAATGACATGATATAAAGTACTTCACAAAACGGGAAATGTTATATATAATTACTGACGAATATTATCCTCCAGGCCAGATCTCCTGACTCCCAGACTGTCTCTCTTCCCACTATATCACTCTGTCTCCCTGATATCTGAGAGATCATGGGTAACGTATTTAAGCTCTTTAGACACCAGCTTCTCTCTCTGGAAAATGAAGATGTTTATCTGAACTCTAAGATCTTTTTCTAGCTCTAAATCCTATAATCTTGAAAAACTGCAGTGTTAAAAGGGTTTCTGATTACAACAATAGCAGTTTTTCTATGGTATTTAAGATCTATAAAGCATGTTCCTCACATCAAAACTGAGTTTTTTGTAGTAGTAGTCATAATTATTATATTGGAAATTAGCATAACATTTTAGGTTTACAAAGTACTTCATATACATCTTATCTAAATTCTCCCAAAAGCCTTATAAGATATGCCATTACACATCTTACAAGATAGTCATTACAAATAATACCCCCATTTTACAGATGAGGATGACGAGGTTGAGAGGTTAGCTGAGTTGCCTACCCGTAGTCACACAGTTAGTAAGTATATGAACCAGGACTAGAACTTAGGTTCCCTAATTCCAAGACCAGTGCACTTGATCACATGGATAAAATAAACCCATAATTAAAAATAAAATCAGCCTTCTCACCCCTGTCAGACTTCATATAGGTAATAAGCTCTAGAAATCCATGAGAAATGAAAGGTGAGAGGCAGCTAGATGGCGAAGTGGATACAGCTCCAGCCTTGGAGTCAGAAGGCCCCGAGTTCAAATTCGGCCACTTGACATTTACTAGTTGTGTGACCCTGGGCAAGTCACTTAACCCCAACTGCCTCACTAAAAAAAAAAAAAAAAAAATGGTGAGTCATAACAAAAATAATTGAGAAGTTTAAGCTGGTTATGTAGTGGGAGGAAGCAGGTGAATGAAATTAATATCAGAACTTGTATTCTGATAGCCTCAGTTCATTCTCATTGCCCCAGGGTCATTATGTATAAGTGGCACAGTATTTCTCTAAACATGAATGTTACTTCTAAATCCTTTTCTCTCTCAAACCCCAACCTACAGCCCCTACTCCTATCCATATAGAAAAGCTATTATAATATCGATAAACTTAAAGAATAAGATCTAGTTTTTTAAACCTCTTTGTGCTGAAGACTTCAGACAAATGAGATACTCTAGTGGTCTCCAGGAAGATGCCCAGAAGGCTGACCATGGGAATCAATAGGGGACTCAGGTCTAATAGCAGAGCAGTCTAAGCCCCGGGCTTGGAGCCAGATTTGAGCTGGGCTCAAATCCTAGTCCTGTAATATGACACCTGGTCTAAACTTGGGCAAGTCACCTCTCTTCAAATCTATAAAATGAGGACGTTGTACTTAATAATTTCCAAGGCCCTTTCTAGTTTGACTCCTGATTCCATAATACTTTATGATCATAAAAAACCTTACTTACATATTTCATGGGATTCTCACAACAGGCCTGTGAGATAAATAGGACAAAGATTATTATCCCCATTTTACAGATGGGAAAGTCAAGTTCAAGAGAAGGGAAGTGATTTGCTGAAAGCCCATAAAATAGCTCAAGTCTCAGAACAGGCTCTTCTAGGCATTTAAAAGAGAACTATGAGCGGCTAATTAGTGCAAAAATCAAGTCTCAAAATCAAGGTGAGCAAAGGCAGTAAACCTTCATTCAGCTTACAATAAATAACAACAGTATCCTATTTAAGACTCACAGTTAAATCTCGGACTTCCTTCTGCAGTCTAAGGGCTTTGTGTTCCAGGGCTTCTTCCGCCAATAAGGGGTCTGGCTCAACAGGAGGCTCAGAAGAGCCGCAGTCCTCTCCAGCACTACTCTGGGCAGCTGTGTTGAAGGTACGTGGCCAGCCTCTGAAGTGAATGCACAGAAAAGGGATAGAGCAGATAACGAGTCAAAACCAAGATGAGATGTGTGTGAAAGAATGGGTCCTAGGCCCAAGTACTTGAATTGTTTGCTTCCCTCCTGGTAGCTCCTTTTTGAAAATGGTTGAAGAAACTCTTGCATTTGCCCCAGGATTTTTTCTCCATTACTAAAATTACTTAATTTCATTTTGAGGCATTATGTCTCCTATACCTTCTTGGTCCACACATCACCTTGGTTCTATAATTCACAGATTAGCTATTCTTTCTTCTGCTGCTGTCACCATATACTGATGCAAATCCTTAACCATATTTAAGCCATTTGGGTTTTGATTCAATTATAAACATTTATTAAATACCTATTATGTGCAAGCTGCTGTGCTAGGCCCAGAGGAAGACAACAATCAAAGTTACTGTTGTCCTGTTTACTTCTCCTGAGGTGATAAAGCATATACACAAATACATGCAAATTAATTTCAAGAGGGAGAAAGTGTTAACAAGTATAAGAATCAGGAAAGGCATCAAGTAGGAGGTAGTACCTTACCTTTGCTGTGACAGAAGCTACGGGTTCTATACAATATAAGGAAATAAAGAGAATGTTTCATACACAACAGATTATAAGTGCAAAGATGGAATGTCACTGAGGGTAACTACTATCAGACCAGTTTGAGTGGAACAGAAAATAAATGAAAGGGTGAAGGCTGGAGAGTTAGGTTAAACACATATTGTAAAGGGCTTTAATTGCCAAACAAGGTAGTTATATTATGGGTGGTTTGAAGATGGGAGAGCCTGGAGTCAGGGAGACCAGTTAAAAGGCTTCTGCAATTGTCCTGAGAAGACAATAAGAGTCTGAACACAGGGCAGGGACTATATAAGTAGAAAGGTAATAGCTAGGAGAGATGTGGTAAGAGGAAGAACTGGAAAGATTTGGCAACTAATTGGAAATGGGGGTTGAATGAGTGGGAGGAGTCAAGGATGACTCCAAGGTTTTGAACTTTAGTAACTAGAAAGTTGGTGGTGTTCTCAACAGAGATGGGAGACTTTAGAAGAGGGATGGATTTTGGGGGAAATGAGCTCTGTTTGAGGCATGATGAGTTTAAGATGTCTTTAAGATACCCAAAGGAAGATCTCCATGGACTGGGCATCAGGAAAGATTATCATTGAATATACAGATTTGAATCATCACAGAAATGATCATTAAAATCATGGGAGCTGATGAGATCACTCTGAAAAAAGAAAAGGGCCCAGGACAGACCCTCAGGGAGATGCCTACATTTAGTGGGCAGAAGAATTCAGTGAAGGAGACTAAGGAAGAACCTTAGAACAAGTAGAACCAGAAAGAACATTGTCTAAGAAGCCAAGAAAGAAAAGTTTATGCAGGAGAAAGGGATGGTTAAAATCATCAAAAGCTACAGTTCTTCAAGGATGACAGCTGAGAATGATCACTGGTAACCTTGAAGAGAGCAGTTTTAACTGACAAGTGGGATCAGAAGCCAGATTGCAAGCGATCAAGAAGTGACTGGGAAATGAGAAAATGGATGGAAAGGTAGCATTTGAATTGCTTTGCTTGGCCCCAGAGGACAGAACTGAGAGAAGCTGATGGTACAGTGAGGTGCATTGTCTCAAGTTAAAAACAAATAAAATTTCCTAACAATTACAGCTATTCTACAATGGAATGTACTGGTTTCTAGCAAGTTCCCATCAACAGAAATCTTTAAGCAGAGGCTAAATGAATAATAAAGCAATTTTTAAGTCCTTATTATGTACCAGGCACAGTGCTAAGCACTACGGATATAAGTACAAGCCAGTTCTTGTCCTCAAGGAGCTTACTTTCCACTGGGGGAAAAACATATAAGGGAGAGCTGGGGATAATTGAGTGGACGATGATTCATGCTTGTGGCAGAATGGCTTGGGAATGGTCAGCAAGTAAATAGAAACCTGTGTCTAGGTAAGATAAGGAGAAATCTCACCTAGCAGAGGCCAGAGTCTCAGAGGCAATATCCCAGGTTCCTGTGACAGGGAGTGTGAGGAATGCTAAAGTGCAGGCAGTATTGTTTGGAAATGGCTAGAAGATCACTTGACAGGAATGCTATAGAGATTCCTACTCAGGTATGCATTAGCTCGGATGACCCAAAATCATTTTCATTTCTGAAATTCTAAATAAGAAGGGCAGCAGCACAACGAAATGGAAAGCACACAAGCTAGAGAATCAGAGGACCTGAGTTTGAATCTCAGCTTTGCCATATTACTTTGGTCAAATAACATAAACCCTTAATTAGGCTATAGTTTTCTTATTAATGAAAAGTGATTAGAAGTTCAAATAAGATATTTGCAAAGTGCTTAGCACAATGCCTACATAGCAGGCTCTGTATAAATGCTAGCTACCATTATTACTTTTGTTATTATTATTATCCAATCTGATTGACCTAGCATTCAAGGCCCTCCACATCTGGTACTACACTGCCTTTCACTGCTTTATTTCACAATACTATATGTGACAGGCTGTAATCCTGCCAAAGTGGCCCACTCAATCACTCAACTTGTATTAAGCACCTACTATATGCCAGGCACTGTGCTAGGTGCTAGGAATACAAAAAAAGGCAAAAGCAAAAGACAGTTCCTGCCCTCAAGGAGCTTAGAATCTAAAGGGAGAGACAACATGCAAACAAATATATACAAAGCAAGCTATACACGGGATTAATAGGTAATTAACAAATGACATTAGAATTAAGAGGAGTTGTGGAAGGTTTCCTGTAGAAGATGGGATTTTAGTTGGGATTTAAAGGAAGTCATGGAGGTCAGTAGTCAAGAGGGAAAGGAGAGCATTCTCAGCATGGGGGACAGCCAGAGAGAATGCCTGGTATAGAGATGGAATAAGAAATCAATGGTTGAACTGTTCTTGGATACTATATGGAGTAGCAAGAGGACACCAAAATATGTTTAAAACATGAAACTTCCTCAGAAGCACTAAGTATGAAAATAATTATCAGTATGTCTATAGGTAACTCAAAGTGATTGTTCTTTACTAGGATTGCAATTTGAGCACATTAAATGTTGCTACTTTTGGGTGAAGAGAATAGCAGAGTTAGGAAAAAATTATAAAAAACTGATTTCAAAAGATGTGATTCTAGGGGAAAAAATATTGTAAGACAAACACTGGTTAGTCTAGAAAATGTGTTATTATCACTGCTGCACGATAAATTTAGTTTAACGAAACGTTTTGTCAGTGCAATGTATTGACATATTACCAATTTTCTTTATTTGAAGAATAAATTTCCAAGAATCAATGAGGCTAAATCTAAGATGAATATTTATGGGTTCTCAAATAAAGAAAAGGATAAAAATTTTTGAATAAGAGTTGAAGTTGAAGGAGATTCACTGAAATTATTGCAAAAATTGACAATGTAATTTTGGGGAAAATACAAGCCATAAAATCACCACAAAACAGTCAATGATTTCCTTAAAGCCTACAAAGTTATTGGATATAACACGTCACTCAAGATCCATTTCTTGAATTTATACTTGGACTTCTTCCAAGAAAATCCAGCTGCTATTATAGTGATGAACAAGGGTAACACTGCCATCCAGAAATCTCCACAACAGAAAAAGAATAACTAAGCTAAGTGGAGTAAAAACATACTGGCACAATATTGTTGGATGCTGAAAAGAGATGTTCCACATGCAAAAATACAATGGGAAATCATCGATACGAGTACTGACATTTTAGCTGAGTTACAGCACCATTTTGTTCAGACAAAATATTTTTAATATAGAACTGTGAAAATGATAAATGGCAAAAAAAAACAACCCTAAAGCTATATTTAAAATCACAAAGAAAAAATACCGTAAGGTTAAACTATTTTCACCTATGTAAGAGAAAACCATTTTCTGTTGTTGCTATTGTCCAGTATAACAGAACAAACATAAGATGCAATTTTATAAGAATAAGTATAAAGTCTCAAGCATCCTGGCACTGTAGTGATAGTGAGTGTGCTATGTGTGTGAAGTCGGTAAGATCTTGTTCTAAAACACCATGAACCTCAAGAAAATGCTATTCTAAACTTCTTCTCTCCTTAAGCCTTTCCCACTTCCTTCCTCTCTTCGTCATCCCTTTCTTGACTGAGATCTCTTATCTCTTACTTTACTGAGAAAAATAAGGCCATTTCTGTTAGCTCCTCTTCTCTTGTTCTCATCTCAAAACCCCTTGGAATCCTTCATATCAGTGACTAGCCCTGAAAACAGCAATGTCCTTACCCCTCTACCCCAGGCCATCAACCCTGCTTCCAGGGCCATTTCCTTCCATAACATTTGAGATGCATCTTGGAAACTGCCTCTGCAAATGCTTTAGTCTGTCTTATCCAACAGCCTCTTAGCAGCAGCCATAAGCAGATCCTGAAAAGTTCTAACCACCTGAGTGCTTGGCCCTGTCAAATGACTTAATGGAAGTCAATGGAAAAGCCACTAAAGAAACTGTCTTACCATCTGCTTTGCCAGTACATCCTGAGGCCTACTGGGGTTTTTAATCCTACTTGCTGCTACAGCGAGACTCTCTGCCCCTCTTGGAACATGAGCCACTTGAGAGCAAGGACCATCTTCCCTGCAATGCTCTCCATCATCTCCTGCCCCAAATCCCACCTTCTACAGGAAGGCTTCCCCAACCTCCCTTAATGCTTATGCTCTCCCTCTTCGATCATCTCCAAGTTATCCTGTATATATGTTTGTACACTGTTGTTTGCATGTTGTCTCTCCTTCATTTAACTGTGGATTCCATGAGCAGAGACTGGGAAACTCGGGGAGAGGGGCGGCTTGCCTCTTCTCGGGACTCCAGCGTGCAGCACAGCTCCTGGCACACAGTAAGGTCTTAATAAATGCTTGTTGACTGATGCAGTGCGTGCTCTCCAACCCACATATATCTACTTTACAGAGGAAGAAACTGGGGCCCAAGTATGAGGCCTGGAAATCGACTGCTCGGGGCCCGTCACACGTGGGCTCCACCAGCAGATCACAATCCATCCAACCAGGGCGGGAAAGGGAGAGGGAACTGGAGTCCGGGGGACCCCAGGTTCGAAGCCCAGATCGGTCACTTACTACCTGTGGGGCCTGAAGCAAATCACTTCTCCCGCCTGGGCCTCAGCTTCCTCCTGTGTCAAATGAGGAGGTTGACTGGAGGTCCTCCGAGGTCCTTGCCCACTCCGGACCGAGGAGCCTCGACTTTTGGGCAGACCCGGGCTTTTCCATTCCTCATCCCCTCCATCCCCGCCCTCGGCGCCAGCTCCTCGAGGCCCCGCCCCGCAACAACTACCCCCCGCCCCCCCCACCACCACAATTACCTGCCCTGGCCGAAGGCGCCAGGGGCCGCGAGTCGCAGCAGAGCCCGTGGGGCCGCCCGGAGACACCGTCCAGCCATGTTCCGCCGCCTTACAGACAGAAGACACAGCGCAGGAGGTGTACTCGCCCCAGAGACCAGAACAGAGAACTACAATTCCCAGTGATCCTCGCGGTTCGAACAGGTGAGGGCCCCAAGCATCCCGGAAGGGGCAAGCTAAGAGATCGCTTCCGGCCACTGTAGGGCTGGAGCTGGGCGGGACAAAAGGGAGGGGGAAAGGAGGAGTTGGAGAAAAGGGGAGGGGAGGAAAAGAGGAGGAGAGGAGAAAAGAGAAGGCAGGGAAAGGAAAAGGAAGCGATAAAAAGGGAGAGAGGAATGTGGAAATTTATTTTTCTCGATTATACATATTTGTTACAAGAGTTTTGTTTTCCTTTTTTAATGGGGAGAGAAATTAAGTACTTGTTAATTGAAAAGAAACAAAATTTAATTTAAGAGAGGGTATGCAAAAGAAGGGGAGGTGAAATGTGGTAGAAGGAAGATAATAAGTAGAATGATGGGAGTTAGCCATTCAGTCAATTAGTAAACATTTATTAAGAGACTGCTATATGCCAAGCAGTGTGCTAAGCATTGGGAATACAAAGAAAGGCAAAAAAGACAATCCCTGCTGTCAAGGAGTTCGCAGTTTGATGGGGGAAACAATATGCAAACAACTGTGTACAAACAATCTACATGCAGGATAAATGGGAAATAATCAACAGAGGGAAGGCAATGGAATCAACGGTAATTAGGAGAGGCTTCCTGTAGAAGGTGGGATTTTAGCTTTTAAAGGAAGCCAGAAAGATTGAGATGAAGAGGGGGAGCGTTTCAGGCTCCCCCTGGGAGATGGCTAGTGAAAATGCTCAGGAGTAGGGAGATGGAGTGCCTTGTAACGAACATGGAAGCCAGTATCAATGAATCCCAAAATTGGCTCTGGGTGGGTGGGGGGGGTTTGCTGTGGGAGTGTGGGGGGGAGATAATGTATGGTGTAAGAAGACTTGGTAGGGGGGGCAGCTAGTTGGCACAATGGCTAGAGCTCCGACCCAGAAGTCAGGAGGACCTGAGTTCAAATCCAACCTCAGACCAAACACTTGATAGCTGTGTGACCTTGGGCAAGTCACTTAACCCCAATTGCCTAAAATAAAGAAGGGGAGGGGGGGGGGGGGGGTCAAATTATGAAGGGTTTTAAAAGCCAGATAAATTTATATTTGATTTTGGAGGTGATAGGGAGCCAGTAGAATTTGACTGGGGAGGCAGGGAGGGAGGTGTCATGAACTTTAGGAAGATCACTTTGACAGTTGAGTGGAGGAGAACTGAACTGGGGAGAGATTTGTAGGGAGACCAATAAGCAAGCTACTGCAATAGTCTGAGTGTGAGGTGGTAATGGCCTGAATCAGAGTGGAGGCAGTATCAGAGGAAAGAAAGGGGCATGTGCAAGAGATATTATTAAAGTAAAATCTACATGCCTTGACAACAGATTGGGTATGGGAGGTGAGAGAGAATAAGTAGAGGATGACACCTAGATTGTGAGCCTGGGTAACTAGAAGGAGGGTGGAACCTTGGACAGTAATAGGGAAGTTGGGAAGAGGGGAGGGTTTTTTTGGAGGGGCTCAGGAGGGAGGGAAATAAAGAGTTCAGTTTTGGACATGTTGAGTGTAAGATGTCTATCAGACATCCAATTCAAGATTTAGAACTTAAAGGGATTATAAAGTAATAGTTGTCTCTTTTTCAAATCCTGTAAATCTTCCCTGTGGCCAAATCTAGTCAACAAGCATTAAGTGCTTATCGTGTATCAAGGCACTGTGCTGTGCTGAATTTTTGAAACAAACTAGGTTTACACAGGATTAGCAGGCATGGATGGGTGAAAATCTGCATCATTGTAAGGAGCTATAAAATCCAAGAGATTATAGACGCCCATGAGTATTTAAGTAAGAGAGATCATTTATTCTCATTTTTCTGGTGAGGAAACTGAGGCCCAGAAAAAGTAACCCTGACATCACAGCCCTTTTTGTCCTAGTCTTTTGCCTTTCTTTGTATCCCCAATATTTATCACTATACCTGACACATAATAGGTACTTAATAAATAATAATTGCCTGACTTGAAAAAAGCCAAGATGAATAAAAGGGGGGCCCATATGAAAAGCCTCCCGGTATTGAGTCAACCTATATAAGTGGTGGATTTGCTTAAAGAATATCCAGAGTACTAGTAATGAAAAAAGGGATAGTATTAGAGAAAACATTAAAAGCTCCTCGAGGCAATAAGCTACCCTAAGAGGTCAGAGGTCAGTCTGCCAGTGTAAGAGCTCAGTGGCAGAGAAGAAGGGAAAAGCTGGGGCCATTACAATTTCCTCCTCATTGCCCACTGTGAAAAAAAAAAATGAAGAGAACCAAAAAGAAGACTGTGGAAATACCCTTCAGCAAAGAGGATACTAGGAATTCACAGGGGAGCTGGACACACTAAATCCTCCAAAGCCTTAGTCAAGTGGGATTCTGTGGTTCAGAAGAATGAGAGAACAAAAGAGCTCAATTTTCTTTTGAAGGGGTAACAAGTACTAGTTGCCCTCGCTATGAGGTATTGGGTAGTTGGAGTTATTAACTTCCCTGAAGCACGAAATTTTAAACCTCCATTTTAAAAAAAAGTCCATAATGGTCTCTTCACTGATTGTTTACTAAACACCATTCCATCCTAGCAGAGATCTTACCTTTGGAGGAAGGAGAGAAATGCTATTCCATCAGCTCCCTTAGCCCCTCCCCTGAGCTGCCTAACCCAGAGAGGTTACTCTACACTGAGACAGCACTCCTGGAGATGTTGATAAATGCTTTGTTCCCTTCCCCAAACCTGAATTCATTCCTCAATAATTTATAAACTCCCATTGGATCATATCCTCCTCGGCCCAGTAATTCTGAACCCCTAAGGTATCATCATTCCCGGTTCTCTGTCCCCCACTGCCCACCCCTTCATTCCTATTCCCCTCAACCCAGCCCCTTCCTCCAATGTTCTACTCTATAGCTATCCTTCCCTACCACTGTGCTTCATTCCTCTACAATTACTCCCAGAAACCTCTTCATCCTAGAAGTTCAGTCTTTTCCTTTCCCATTCTTTCCATCTTCTGGCTGTCATTGAGAACTGACTGCCTTCTCATGACACAACCTCTTTGGCTACCCTTTCTAGTATTGGCTGGATTTTCACTTATTTCCCTGACTCACTGGTCAAAGCAGGGGAGTTGGGGTACTTTTTGCTCTCCATTGCCACTTTCAGACTCTCCCTCAACCATCATCATACAATAATTTCTCCTCTTTTGAAGTTCAGTCAATCCATAATCACCTCCCAATCAAAATACTGACAGCTATGGTCCACCAATCTCCAGAACATTCTCATTCTTTCCTTGATGAATTCAGTTTCTGGCTCACAGTTTTTCCTCCTCATCTTCTGCCTTCATGCTAGAGGATTTCAACATACATATTGAGAAGTCCTCAAACGCTCAAACCTCCAAGTTTCTCAATTTACTCATTTCCCATGACCTACTCCTCTACCCCACCTCAGTTACACATAGTCATACTTGATCTTGCCAGTACCCACAATTGTACCATTACTATGTTTATGATCTTTGGAATTCTCTTATCAAATCACAATCTATTGTTATTCTAGCTTTCCCTCTTTCCTGAATTCCCTAACTCTGTCCTTTGCCCTTACCATGACTTTTAGTTCCTCCACCTCTCAGTTCTTTCCCAGGCTATCACCCCTGAACTGTCTACACTCTCCCCTTCCCCATCTTGACCCCTTGATGAACCAGTTCAGCTCTACACTGTCCTCTTCTCTTGAGTTCCTCCCCTTATCCTACTGCCAATCTAATCCTACTAAGCCTCAGTCTTAGATTACTCCTACCATTAGCTTCTTTTACTCCTACTCATGTACTTGCTGAACAAAGCTGGAGAAAATCTTGACTGCGTTGTGCTGACTGGGTCCATTACACATTTATGTTACATAATCTCAACTGGGATTTTGCTGTAGCAAGGAAATAATTTTATACTTCCCTAATCAGGTCACTATTCCCCTTACCATTATAGCTTTTCCAAGTCTTTTCATAAATCCTCAAACCTCCCATGATTTCCTCTTTCCCCACTCTCTTAGCTGAGAACCCTGCCTCAAGAAAAAATGGAGGCCATCAGGCAAGAACTCCACCTTCTCTCCTTCTCCTAATCTCACATCACCCAGATGCCTTCTATTTCTATGCTCGCCTTCACCCACGTCACATGAAGAGATGGCTCTTCTTTTTACCAGGGTAAACTCTAACCCTTCAAACTGAGTGATAGAATTCCATCATATCTTCTCCAGCAGATTCCTTTCTTATCCCCATTCTCTTATCTTCAATCTTTCCCTACTAAGCTGCTTCCCTACTGCCTACAAACATGCCCATGTCTCTGACATCCTCAAAAACTCTCATTTGATTCACTCCTCCTCATGAAATATGGTCCTGTATTTTCTTCCCTTTTGTGACTAAACTCCTTGAAAAATCTGTCTACAATTGATGCCTCCACTTCCTTTCCTCTCACTCTCTTTTTAACTCTACAGTCTAGCTTCTGACTCCATCATTCAGCCAAAACTTCTCTTTCCAAAGTTTCCAATGATCTCTTTATTGATAAATTCAATGGCTTTTCCTCAGTCCACAAACTTGACTTCTCTGCAGCCCTTGACACTGTTGATCCCTCTCTTCTCCTTCATGTGTTCTCTCTAGGTTTCTGTGACACTGCTGTCTTTTGGTTCTCCTCCTTGTTTCTTATAAATAGTATTTTTACTATTTATATTTATTTAAATAGGATTTTTTTCCTAAGTAATTTATGTTTTCCACCTTATCAGACATTGGGATATTAAGTTCTGTTGTTTCTGATTCTCCCTTTTCTAGTCACTTCCATTGATCTATTTTTTTTAAACCAATACCAGATAGTTTTGATGACTGTTGTTTTATAATATAATTTGAGGTCTGGAAGTGCAATTTCCCCCTTTATCATATTCATCATCTCCCTTAATAGTTTAGATCTTTTGTTTTTCCAAATTAATTTCATTATTGTTTTATAAAGCTT